TGACGGTACTTGTCCTGCTCGATTTTAGTAACGCATTTAATACCGTTGACTTCGACATTTTGCTTGCCGTACTCAGCTCTCTTAACGTATCCCCATCGGTAATTGACTGGTTTCGCAGCTACCTATTTGGTCGCCGGCAGCGTATTCATTGTGAGGATCGTTATTCTTCATGGTGTTGTACTGCTTCCGGTGTGCCGCAGGGTGGTGTTCTATCCCCTTTACTCTTTGCGCTATTTATCAACTCTATCTCTAATGAACTCTCTTCTTCCTTCCACCTTTATGCCGATGATCTACAGATCTACACAAATGCTTCACTGCATGAGTTACCTGATGCTATTGCGCTGATCAACCGTGATATGGCACGAATTAGTGACTGGAGCATGAAGTTCGGGCTACATATTAATCCATCAAAAACACAAGTGATGGTTGTCGGCAGCTCAAGGACTGTCTCTAAAATAGACTGGTCTACTCTTCCCCAAGTATGTCTACTTAAAACAAAGATTCCTTTTTCCTGTGAAGTCAAGAACTTGGGGATTTACATTGATAGTACTCTGTCCTGGTCTAAACAGGTGCAGGAGGTCAGCCGCAGGGTGTTTGCCTCGGCGGGCGCCCTGAGGCGTTTACGGAATTTCTTACCCACTGCTACTAAAATTGCATTAGCACAATCCCTACTTCTACCAATTCTCGACTATGCTGATGCCAGCTATCTTGATCTCACCCAAGAACAATTAGACAAGCTTGAGCGACTTCAAAATCTTTCCATTAGGTTCATATTTGGATTGCGCAAGTATGACCACGTCTCTGAGTTCCGCAACAAGCTCAAATGGCTGCCTATTCGCCTTCGCCGGAATACTCATATTCTTTCACTTCTTTACAATATACTTTTTAATCCCACTACCCCTACCTATCTAAAAGAACGTTTTACGTACCTTGGCGATACACATTCGAAGTTTTTGAGATCATCGGAGAGTCTGAAATTGAGTATTTGTTTGCATTCCACTTCCTTTTTAGACAAGTCCTTTACAGTGCAAGCAGCTCGGTTGTGGAATGCTTTACCGATTGCAGCGAGGCGAGCTCAATCCATATCGCAATTTAAAAAACTTGTTAAAGAGCATTTCCTCTCTTTATAATTTTATATCCTATCTTAACCACACACACACATACACACACATACACACACATACACACACATGCACAAATACACACCATTATGTAATTTATGTATCATATTGTATATTGTATAGGTATTATTTTATTTTTATTTATTTTATTTATTTTTTTTGAGTTGTAGTTGTATTTTTGTATTCTGTGTATAGTACTTTATAAAGTTATTAATTATTGTACACTTGACGACCCATATCAGACTCCTATTACTGCTCCATCCAAAGGTTGTCTGTAAGAAATCGCCTTGTGCGATAAGACCGCCCATTGTACACTATTTTTGTTAATATTTATCCTATAATGTGATTGTGTGGTGTACAATAAAGCATATTATTATTATTATTATTACATTTTCTACTCAGTGCTGTGAAATTCACAACAAACAACCTATGGAATGGAGTTCAGTGGAAATAACCAATATCACCGAATTAGATTTCGTGGGAGGTATGTGCATAAAATATGACGCGATGTAATCCTCCCTCGGTGGAACTCACGGGGGGTGACCAAAGGTAATAACTTCGCCCTTATTTACATTCGTTGCGGCCTTGGGGTTGCTCCCAATTAAATCTAACTGGGTATCCCATAGATGTTATTTTTAGATTGGTCGCGCAACTGCGATGGTGAAATCGTACGGTTTGTTTTGTAGTCGCGTGGTTCTAGTCTAAGAATAGGTCGCCATTCTATTTCTTCTCGTTAGTATCGCAAGATACGACCCATGAGCTGTTTTTGGTCTTAGCTGTGAGCGTACCAGAAAGTTATTTGTAATCTAATCATGCTACTGTCCTTTGTAATTGTTCGTTCGAAAACCGGATTTAATTCATGATTAAGCGGTAATTGAGATTATGATACGTGATTAAGATGTTCTTTTAAATACAAATAGCTATCATATAACGCTTGTCCAGCCAATTTGAGCACACTTACCAAGAAATCGTGAGTTCATTCTAAACAAAATTCCAAACCTGACACGAGCAAGACATCGAGAGGTAGGAACATATTGATTAAATAAAGAAATTTATGCCGGGCCAATTTGTGGCACAATTTTATTACATTATCGGCATCTGGTTAAGAAACGTGAAGTCCATTCACTAGTTAAGTGTAAACTACGCGCAGGGTGACTCACCCCCGGTAGACGACCCGTATTGAGGTCACCACTGTGGCCTTCCTAGAGACGGCATTGTTCCTTTTATTTCAACTTTATTCCGAACTACATAAAGTTATAAATGATATTCGGTAAAGAGAAAATGCTCTTGAATTCTTGTTCGTCGAAATATTTTGCTCTATCGAGACAATTTCGATTGCCAAGTTAGTATATTTTGTCAGTGGTTCAATTTCGACAAGATTTTGTGAGTCGGCGTTTTGGGTTACTTTCTTCATTAATTACTTGCGTTTTTTATTGTCACAGTTACGAAGATTGAAGGACAAAATTATGGTAAATGCCTTGCAAGATTAAGACAAGGAGTTGCAAGATATTGAAGACGCATTAACTGCAGCAGCCATACAGCCTTTGCCAGTGTACTGGGCAGATAGAAACTGTAAGTACTTCCAGATGGAAGTTCGTTCTAAGTGACATAACATCAATATGGAAACTAGTAGAGCATTTCTCAGTATTTTCACGTGAGTAACCCGCGATTTTTATTTAATCAATATTGTATTCATTATCGTCGCGTTGTTACGTCGTCATATCAAATACAGTACCTATTTTAATTCAAACAACTAGTTAAATTGGTTTGAGAACAGGGAAAATATATTTATTTATCATATCAAGTTAAACACAGCTGCATAATTAAAAATATATTTCATTTCATAGTTAATTGGGGAAAAAGAAAATTACATTTAGGCAGGCAATTAACAGTAAACAAACCGACAAATAGGTAATATTATCTATAGTAGGAAGGCAAACATTTACCAACATAATTTGTGCAAATTGTAAAAAATCGCAAGATCGTTTGCACAATATCAAGTTGAAGGACGGGCTACACTACTTATAATGCAGAACTTGTAAAATGCAAAACACACACATTTGGCATACTAAATGAATTGTGTGTTTATGTAGGCATAGGTAGTTAGATTGCTATCTATAACATAATAAGACTTGTGACACATGCACTGCATGCATACTGCTTATAAATATTTTTCATGGAGTTATTTACTCTGTGTGATTTAATGATTTTTGGAACATGCAAACCAGTTCTAAATACTTACTTAAGCATCTTATATTTTTTCAGGGCCTGATAATTCTCTTGCTATGGCTCTTTTTTGTTTTTCCTTATAATACAGAATTAGAGAAAGATGAAAAGTATGAATTTCATAGACATTAAAGTAATCAATAATATTTTTAATCTGATGAGCATCTTGTCTATATTCTCCCCATTCATAATATTTAAGCATCTCGGACCAGGGAATTAGATACTGTATTTTGTTGAGTCATATTTTTTTTAAATTATGCAAAGTTCTAAGAGCAGGCAGCTATTTGTTGTGCCAATATGTTATATTTAAAATAAAAGAACATGTGTTCTCTTTAGGTTACCTAATTAATATTACTACTTATGTAAAAATAAATAAAATAATTACTCAAGGTGTTGTAGCCATTTACATATTTATTTAAATTTATTACACTTACTGCTTGATTATTTATTTTAATCAGGCAATTAATATTCCTCTTGCTTCTACCTCTACCCTTCAGAGAGAAATACATGAATAAACACATTTTCTTGATATCTTTTTTTCGTAATGTGCGTAAAGGGAAGCTTCTACATACAATTTTATATCTGTAAATCATTACAATTTAATGAGTAATAAGATTTATATGATATACCTAGCTACGTAACTACATTTTTATAACTACGTAGTTTCTAGGGTATTACCTACAGTTAGGGTTATCAACATGCAAGTACTAATGCTATTACTTGCTAGCCAAATGATTTCATTTAAAGATAAAAATACAAAGCATTTTGCCCCCTGTAACGTTAAATTATGACATTTAGCACACGCACAGTATTATCCGTTCGTCGATCCCCATCGGCTTACCCCAGGGGTGGGTCTAATGATAAATGCCCGCATCGTAAGAAATTATACGAGCTCCACTCGTTGCGCCGCTACTTTCTGACTTAAAACCTCTATAATTTAAATAAATCTATACTATTAAAAGCTCTAATTGCATATAAATACCTCATAAAACTCAGAGAATGCAGATCAAGGCAGCAAATCAAGTGTCGATGGGACAAATCCTTGCACAACCACTAAACAGAAATTATACGAAAATAAAACACACTAACACAAGATGTTCACTACTTATGTTAAGCGAATCAACACAATAAAGTATTACACAAATTGATTGTGTTATAAAACGTCCAACAAACATATATAAATTGTGAAAAATGTTGCATTTCCTATTTTATGTGCACCGGCAAACGATCAACACAACCACCCCGCTACAAAAATCTTTATAAAACTGAAAAATATAAACGACGGTGGCGCTGCTGTCGGCGATTAGCGCAAGCGCTGTCAAAACGTAAAAGAAACGACTCCTTTCCACCTAACGAAACAGGAAAAAAAGAATGGTGTCAATAATGGGATTTTTGGATTGTAATTAAAGGTTTTTCTCCTACTTTTGTTTAAAATGAAACAAAATATATTTCGTTATAGGAAAAGAAAAAAAATATTACGCCACAAGAAAGCCGCAAGTAGGTAACCAAAACTCAAATGTTTGACGTCAAAGATAAGACTGTCAAATGTCAATAAATATTGTCACTGTGAAACTGTCAATTTTGTCATATTGTTTATTTTGTGCATTTTATTTTTGAACATTTTTAATATATCGTTGGTAAAAATAAGTTAAAATGCTTGATTCTGTAAAACGTGTAATATTAGTTCTTTCTGGTAAAGGAGGTGTCGGAAAATCTACAGTTAGCACCCAATTGGCGCTAACTTTAAAAGAAAGAGGTTATAAGGTAAAGTCAAGTGGAACTTATCAATTTTTGTTGATTTTGCCTAGTAATTCTTATATGAAGATTATTTATCTATATTTCTAGGTTGGATTACTAGATATAGATTTGTGTGGGCCTAGTGTTCCATACTTATTGAACTTGGAGAACCAAAATGTACACCAAGGACCTGAAGGATGGATTCCAGTCTATTTAGACAACGAACAGAGGCTCGGAGTGATGTCAATAGGTTTCTTACTAAGCTCCCGAAACGATGCCGTAGTGTGGAGAGGACCAAAGAAGACATCGATGATAAAACAGTTCTTAGAAGATGTTTGCTGGCAGGAACTTGATTTCCTTGTTATTGATACTCCTCCAGGTAAATAAAAAGATGGATGTTCTAGACTAGACACTAATTGAGTAAAAATTTTGTCAATTACACATTGTAAAATAGAAGTTATAACTTACTTTTCAGCATTTCAATTATGACAATACTGAATAATTTGCTAAGTCATCATGAACAGACTAATTAGATCCACATGATCTACTAAATATCCTAATGTTTCTTTCCTTTTGTAGGAACTTCAGATGAACACATCACAGTGATGGAGAATCTCCGTCAGGTGCCACAATGTGGTGCTATAATAGTAACCACACCACAAGAAGTTGCCATAGAAGATGTGCGCAAGGAGATCACATTCTGCAAAAAGACTGGCATACCTATCCTTGGTATTATTGAAAATATGAGTGGGTGAGTTTACATGATCATTGGAAGGAACTACAAAATTTTAGACATTATGCTGTAGCAATTTTAGCACAAAATCTTGTTAGACATAGGTAAAGAAGATTATTCGGGGTGACGTTTTCTTTTAAACAAAAGCCCTGTATTTAAATAGAGATAAAAAAAAAAAACTAAACCATGAGATGGTTGTTTTCACCATCAAATATGTGTATAAGACACATCTCATGCCTGAGAAGACCTTAGGTATACTATAAAGCCGAAGAGTTTGTTTTTTTTTGTTTGTTTGTTTGAATGCGCCAATCTCTGTAACTACAAGTCTGATTTGAATAATTCTTTTTGTGTTGGATAGCGCATTCATCGAGGATGGCTATAGGCTATAAAACATCACGCTACTACCAATAGGAGCCGAGAAAGTGTGTGAAACAGCACGGAAGTAGCTAGTCATTCATATTGTTTCAATAGACCAGAAACTAATTAATATATAAGTTTTAGATCTTCAGTACTCTTCTTCTAATAATTATGTATACAGTTTAATAAACAACTTCCAAATACATTGTTTATGATAATAATGAATGTCAATTTTAATCTTCTAACAGTGACATTGTCGGTAACCTATTTCCTGTGCCTCTTATCATTATTATATTAATAGAAGGCCAAGTTATGGTATTGAAAACAGTATGTTACAATTAAATACTTATCACATAATCATTCTGGCCTGGATATAACATGCATAACTTGTAATGGACACTTTCCAAAACTTAGTTTAGCCGAACAACATTCAATAAGTTGTTCATTTATTTTGAAAGATAAACTGATTAGCTTCTAATAACCTCATTTATTATGCAAACTATGTCTTAGTGTCATGTACAGTATGATTGTGTTATATATCTAATACTAGCTTTTACCCGCGGCTTCGCTCGCGTCACAAAAGGATAAAAAGTAGCCTATGTGACATATAGCAATACACACAGCGCCATCTATACCAATGCTTTTGTTTTTCCTCGGGAATATCACACTTTTTCAGGATAAAAAGTACCCTATTATTTAATCTGGACTTCTAACTTTACGTCTATAAAAATTCAAAGCAATCGGTTTAGTAGTTATGGCGTGAAAGCGGAACAAACAAACAAACAAACTCACTTTCCGATTTATAATATTAGTAAGGATTATGGTGACTGCCTCGTTGGCCGAGTTGTCGCAAGTGCGACTGCCGGGCAAGGGGTCTCGGGTTCGATTCCCGGGTCGGGCAAAGAATTACTGGGTTTTTTAAAAAAAAAAATCTCAGTAGTAGCACGGAGTCTGGAAATGTGCCCGGTATATGGCAATAGGCTCACCCCCTATTACATGGGACTCATAACATAAATAGTGAAAAGTGGGTGTTACTTCTATGTGCACCTCTGCCTGCCCCTTCGGGGAAAAAAGGCGTGATGTTATGATGTTATATGATTATGGTGGAAAAATATAATGATATTGTTCTCCCTATCCTAATCCATTGTAAAATCCACTCCTTGATCAATAAAAATAATGCTACAAAATTCTGTTTTCTGAAAATATTTTACTTTCGCCCACAGATATGAGTGCCCAAACTGCAGTGAATGCACGAACATCTTCTCAAGTGGTGGTGGGAAGTCACTAGCAGATATTGCCAAAATACCGTTCATGGGTAGTGTGCCCATAGACCCCAGGGTTGGGAAACTGGCAGGCCAAGGGTTAGCAGCCATCAAGGAACTACCGGACTCCACAACAAGCAAAGTGTTCAGTGAATTAGTCAACCAATTAGCTCTGAATGGCCTGTGAGGTTGTATGAAAAAGTTTTTATATATTTTAAAATCATGGATATTTATTTATGCATTGTCATGCTCCACTATCAAGAAGTTGTAACAGTCAAAATTACTGTACTGATATTTTAATAGGGTAGTTTCCTAAATTTTATTTTAATGTCCGTCTGGTAGATGATTTTAAAACATTAGACACATATTTTTTCGTTTCTCACAAAATTAAATGCTTTCGACGATATATTGGTTCAGGGCCGGATTTAGGGGTCCAGAGGCCTCGGGGCAACAAAGGAGTGGAGGCCCCCTTGCCCCAAATTATTTTCCAGATTGAGATCGAGGACGCTCGATTGATTTCGAGGACGCTCGATAGATTTCGAGGACGCCCGATAGATTTCGAGGACGCTCGAAAACGATCGAGGACTCTCGATAGATTTCGAGGACGCTCAAAAACGATCGAGGACGCTCGAAAACGATCGAGAACTCTCGATAGATTTCGAGGACGCTCGAAAACAATCGAGGACGCTCGAAAACGATCGAGGATGCTCGATAGATTTCGAGGACGCTCGACAGATTTCAAGTTTAAGAATTGAAGAATACCAATTGTTCACAAACTGCAATTAATTTTTTTAATGGTCGAGACACGGAATCGGATAGCCAACCTCCGAGGTTGCGGGCAAGTACCATCCCACTGAGCCATTGAGCCATTGGGGTACTCCCTCAAGATGGGTAGTAAATTGGAAGTGCTTATCAGAGCCATTTGAGATTTTGATATTTCACTGATTGCCTGATTGGAGTGAACAAATATAGATCAATGATTTCTGTTTCTGTTAATATTTAAAATTAATATAATCAAATAATCATGTATGTATAAAGTACTGTAGGTAAAGGTAAAAGCAAAAAAAAAAAATATCAAAGAAAAGATGTTTACTAGGTTTACTAGTTGAAATTTGAAAGATTTTTTTTCCGAAGTCTCTATTGTGGAGGCCCCCTGCTTGTGGAGGCCCCGGGGTTTCGCCCCGGTTGCCCCCCCCCCCCTAAATCCGGCCCTGTATTGGTTTGAAATGTCGTATGACGTCACAGCGTGCTACAAAATGTAGCACTTTGTGACGTAACTACCTCCCACTCCTAAACTTAACGCCATTTTATTTGTGTATTGTAACTTTATACGAAAAAATAAAAAAATACGTGTCTAATATTTTTTTATTATCTAACTGACGGACTAATTAGATTTTTAATTTTCATTCCCTGGAAACTACCCTATTGTGATATTTATGGTTATATGCTTTCTAAGTTACTGTATTTACTTGTAGTATTCTTGCAACAAGTTTTATTGATTAATATTTTGACTAAGACATAAAACCTTTGAATATTATTCAGGTTGCTGGCTTAAGTATTTTATGCCAAATATGTATAACGAAACTTGTTTTAGAAGACAATAAGATGCATCCCAAATTAGGGTCCTCATAGAGGCAAGTACCACATTGCAGCAAATAGAATGTCATTTATTTCCAAGTATATGGTACATTGAGGTTTTACATTAAATATTGTTTCACATACACTACCATTGCTGGTGTAGAAATATTATGTTAATTATGCTTTATAGAATAAATTAAAAAAAAAAAACTAGTAATTACAATAATGCCAAGTAAATTGATTCAATCACACATCTATGATTTTGCTTGGTACATGACAGTAAATAGAAGTATCAGTGTTATTTCCATCAAAGTGTTAAAATATTTCTTATAATGTTTAAATGCTAAATACAATGTCAATATGTCAAAACGTATATTGTCAAAATACTAAACTAAAATAATTATACAACATACTTAAAAATGATTAAAGAAAAATACAAATATCAAATAGGTAAGTCATAATTATACAATATTAATCAATGTCAAGAAATAAAAGTTCAATAACAATAACAATATGTCAATATTTCTGTAGTCATATTATGACAATGTTTGTTAAATATTCTTTTATCGAATAGTATGCCTTTTTTACAAGAAATTTATTCAGTTCTACTTTAAACACATTGATTTCCCTGGTTTCGAGTAAATGTTTAGGTAGTCTATTAATATCGATGGTGCCATCCCTAAAAAGCTCTTGTGGAAGATTGCTTTCTTGTGTTGTCTATAACGGATTTTATTTTTGTTACGCGCGCTTTTTAATGTTTTCAAATAGTCTAGGGTTCCCTTTCACAAACATTGCTACCTCATATATGTACAGACATGGTAATGTTAATATACGTAATTTCTCAAAAACGGTTTACAACTGTCTGTTGTTTGAATACCGCATATTGCCCTAACACATCTCTTTTGTGCTTTAAATACTATGTCTGTATTCGAGGAGTTACCCCAGAAAATAATACCATATCGTAATATCGATGTTACACATGCATGATACGCCGTGATGACAATACTCTGGTTTACTTCTTTTGCGAGTTTGTATAGGGCGTATGACTGCTTATTCAGTCGCTTACATATGGTATTTGTGTGAGTTCGCCATGACATGTCTCTGTCTAGTTCTATTCCTAGGAATTTCGTGGATACTGTTTCTGCAATTATTTTGTCTTTGTATCTAATGTCAAGTTTATTGTGATTAGTTTTTTGTTCAAATGTCATTATTTTAGTCTTGTCAATGTTTATTTTTAAATTATTTTCGGTCATCCATTCTATTAATGATCCTAAGCATTGATTTATCTCTGTTTCAATAAACTGTACTTAGAGGTATCATCTGTATAAACATAATATATACAATTGCAACGTCCATTTTATTACTGCTCAGTAGCAAGCAATTTAGTTTTAAGCAAAAATGTAAGTAATTATACTATTATACTATCATTCCGTTTATGTTGGTGTAAATAAATGAAATACATCTTGTTAATACGTTTATTTATTTCATAAATCTATCAAATACATAAAACATTCTCTAAAAATGCATATATTTTGGCTTTATAAAATAGTTCTTTGTACTGCATGTAGTACAAATATTATGTTTATTTGTATAATTGTATATAATTTTGCAACACCCTGATACAAACAGTAATTAGATATACTTTTTAATAAAATAATACATTCTAACAAGCTATTTGGAGTTGTTATTAGATTTTCACTTCTATTCCAATAGTCATAAGATACAAAATTCAATAAAGATGTAACCACTTAGCTTTTAAATACCAACCTTATTAATTTAGAGTAGCATTCAAAAATCGATTGAATAATCTGCTTGTTAGAAAAGTCAATTTAGTTATCCAAAAAGAGTTTCTACATTTGATATAAATTGATTCATAATATCTTCGATCAGTCCCTACATACAAGACGTCAATTCTAACATCATTTTCAAATACATTCAATTTCCTCAGGGATTTTATAATATCTTGAAGCCTTTTTGTCCCATTTAACAGGCAGTAAGTAATCTACCATTAAAGACTAGGAGATAGATGCTTCGGTCTACTACATACTAAAGACAATAAAAACGAACAAAAAACGGAACTTAGGTCATCCACAGCCATAATACAAGCTACATAGATATATTTTCTATTATTAATTTTAAATTGAGAACATTATATCATTTAATATTAAAAAAAAAAACATTTGTTTTATCCACGCCTCGATTTGTTTTGTTGTCACGCAACGCAAAAATGTAATGCGAAAGTATAATAAAATTATAGTAGGTAATTATAAACTACCTTGGCATCTAAATTATAATGGTGAACGAGTTAATTACTGAATTATAAACATTAATTTTATAATTATACTGAATTACTATTGTTACGGACTATCAGTACTAAAAGTAATTCAATGGTTATTTAACCCAGTCCGTAGCGATTGTTCTCGGTATAAAATCGTTAGTAAAAAATTGTTTTTCAGGTTTAAACGCCACGGAGGTCACCGATGCCCAACGTTAAAGGAGAAATTGTCTCCAATAGTTTCTATTGGCTGTCAAAGCCAATAAAAACGACAAATGTATTAAGTCTCTGAGATGTCTCTAATAAAAAAAAATCACTTGATGGAATTCAAAACTGTTGGCTTAAGACTAGATTGTATAAAACATAGTTATACGTATAGTAATATAATGAATGGACACATAGATATAGTATTTATAACCATAAAATTTATAATAAACTTAACGCAAATAAATTCGAAACAAAAACAATGTCTTTAAAAGACATGATAGATTCCTTTTTGTTGGCACAGTTGATAATTAAGCACCAAAGAAAATTAAGAAAAGCAATACCGTAAATTAAATTCTATTATCTTTGAAAAGAAAACATAAATTTAATTCTTGGTTTCTTTCTAACTTAGATCATAATGTTATTAGCAGTTAATCCATGTCAAATACAAGCGGTCAATACTGAGTTGACACCAAAAAAGTATATATCAAGAGAAATATAGCTACTATGTATTCACCATTTTTAGAAATGTTCCCTGTCAAAACTAATCTTCTGGGATTTCCCCACAAAGCCCAACATCTTCGGCTATTCCCCGATTACAAAATCACATCATTCTATCACTTTACCAATTTCTTGATATCTCAATATTCTTTATTTTTATTCTTATTTTATTTAATACTAACACGTAATTAACACAAACACATTTTTATGGGGGACCGGAAAATAAGTTAAATTTAATACCAAAAAACTAAAAATTCCTAATGTTTACTTAATATTTCAAGAGACACTGCCTGTAATATTGCAAAACAAAAGATTTAATACCTTTTTCTAATGATATAAGGGCTATATTTCAACGGGGCACCATGGCAGCATGCATAAGCTGGTTGCGCAACCAAGCGGACACCAGAGGCCTTAGTACGAGTTTATTTTACGTCTAAAGTAATCGAAACGAGACCTTATTCGGCGCTCTGTTGTTCATTGGAGCTGGCGCTCTGATTGGTGGTTCAATGGAGCCCGCGCTCTGATTGGTTGTTTCATAGGAGCCGGCCAATCAAAGCGCATACTCGTTTCGATTACTTTAAACGCAAAACGTGATTAACTCTCTATAGAGCTGCATAAATTTTGTTGGCCGCTGCGACTGATTGCGTCGCCATGTTGTCCCGGTAAAATATATATAGACATATTATTTCAAAATATCCAACAAAAGAGAGAAAGACCCTTTTTCCTTGTCCAGTCCCCCATACTTAAAACATTGACGATTTGCTTCTACAAACCCTTTGGACACAGAGGTTTTTGATTTGACTCGAACCAAAGTGTTATTCTATTACATCTTGTACTTACATAGAACGTAAAACAGATCTACTAACATATTCTAATTCACTTAGTCTAATTATAAAATGATTTTAACAGAAATATGGCTTGACAAACAAAAATGCACCCTATTGTCTGACGTACAAAGATTACAATAGCAGTTTCTGTAGTAAAAAAATTAACAAAATAAAATCTTACCTTTGATACCACATTCATCTAAAATAAGCTTTACGGTGATACAAATAGAGACTAATTCCGCGTGTCATTATTCGTTGAGCCACATGAATTGTCGGATCTCGTCTTCTGAGGAGGGGCAGCAGTGTGGAGGAGCTTTTTGCAAAATATGACGAAGTTCCTGAACAAAATAGAACAATATTTATCAATATAAGTCATTGTGAACCAAATTTATGAGACCATAATGCACCTTATACCCATGTATGCAAATATCAATCACATCTCTGAGTAAATAGAGTTGAGAACAGAATAGCACACGCATAACATTTTTGTATCAGAGAAAACTAAACTGTAGGAGATAAAGTATGGAATAGAGTTTTCAAAATCGCAAAAAGAACAAAAATAAATAAAATTTGAATACTTAAAATATCACGATCCCACAGATTATAGCAAAGATAGATATTTACAAGAATGAAGTTTTCAGAAATATAACACAGATGAAAATATGGGAGACCATAGGTAAATGATACAGAATGAAATATATATGGATTGCAATAAAGCTTGTTTGTATGCGAGCTTGAAGAAGGCGTCCACGAATATGATGTCAACTTTGGTATATTGTTTAAATCGTTAATATTAATTTTAACATGGAAGCAATATAATTTGAAATGGAATTTTGGTTTCCCAATAATTTTTTTTTTCTCATAATACGATATGAGATCTAGGATAATATTTAATGACAAACGCATTCACTGCCCAGTGGATTTTCTCCAGTGCCCGAATTATAAGACATCCTACAGTGCCCCGCACGCACTATTGCGTTCAATGTTTGCCCTTTTCGTGTGCCGGAAACTCATATACGCGTTCTTACGGGTCTCACCGTGTGCCCGAAACTCATATATGCGTCCGTTCGACTCTCGGCGAGTGCCCGTGACGCGTCTGTGCGTTTGTTATATACTAACGAAAATACGATAGAATATTATGTATCTGTAGATGAAAGTTAAGGTCATGACACACTGTAATGGAATTTATAATCCATAAGATTATTTATTTTATGTAGTGAAATTGAAAAATTTACCTAAATATGAACTAAGGATGAACGTAATAATTCTATAGTTGGTAAGTAGGTTTATATTTAGAACATTGTTGTATTTTAACCGACTTAAAAAAAATGAGGTTCTCAGTTTGACCTGTATGTTTGTTTGTACGCGATTATCTCGCGATTGGTTGAACCGATTTTGATGCGGTTTTCAGAAAAACTTCTGTTACATTTAGGGGATGGGTTTAGTATACTAATTAACCAACTTCAAAAACAGGAGGTTGATGTTGGATTTTTAAACGTATGTCACGACGCGATGCCAGTATATATAAATTATAGTCTTTCACCATAGATATTTAGTAAGGTACTTATTATCTCGTATAGGTTTATCCTAAAACATTTCGATAGTTGGCTATAGCGCCTGGTGGATATGGTATTTAAAATCTTCAAAGGCACCGCCGTGCATTGTATTGCCGTTATCAGCAAACTAATGTGATTCTATTGTGCGTATGTAGATAAGAGTCATATGAAATATTAGGTTTCTTGGAAAAACAATTAGGTATCTAGGTAGATTTTGGCTTTAGCTCTCGTGATATTTAAAATCTTCTAAGGCACCGCCGTGCATTGTATTGCCGTTATCAGCAAACTAATGTGATTCTATTGTGCGTATGTATGTGTTATGTGAAATTTTAGGTTTCTTGGAAAAAAAAGAGATGATCGAGATAACATTGAAAAAAAATACCACCAAAGGTGATCGTAGTCTTACGTGGATATTTCTTTTTTAAATTGTTCTAAGTATATTTATATTTCAAAACGGCTGAACAAAATTATTGATTATTGCATTGGTAGTAGTAGAATAAGTTTTTTTTATAATTCGTACAAAGTGTGCAATGACCTTTATGAAAGAAATCAGATAAGGAAGTACATATGTGTAAATATGGGTTTCGAAACAATAGACCCTCGGACGCGTCGACGGGCAGCAGGTAAAAAAAGGGTCAAATGAATAGAACGCATATTTGAGTCCCGGGCACATAGCGTCGTGTCACAAAACGCACAGACGCGTCATGGGCACTGAATGCGTTAAATGATGTGTTAAAAGTAAGATAATTATGTTCAAAGATTGACATCAATTCATAGAACACCCTGAATAAAGTTTGACAGTGGTTTATTTCAATAGATTAAACTGTGCAAAATGTATTTCATTTTGGTCATTCTGTACACGTCGCAGAACAAAGTTACTTTATACATGGAGTAAAAAGAAATCGAGAAATCCAAGTCGTAAATATTATTTATTTGATTCATATCTATTCCCAAACGATTTGTAGATAACGTAATAAGTATAGTTGAATTTTAAAGTACCAAATGAGTGAATTTTTTTTAGTGTCACTTTTTTATAATAACGCCATCTTGCAGGCGTTTTATGAACTGCAACTTGCAAGTTTGTAAGGAAAATTACGTTAGTTATTCAACAACCAAAAAGAAAAGTTTGATAAAACTAATAACATTTCACCTTGACACTGCATTTCAAACCTTATGCACAAGTACAGAACGACCAAAAGCCGTTAAAAATAAAAGTCGATGGGTTATATGTAAGTGTTTACGAACCCCGACTATATCGAACCACTTGTCCTTCTGCAGTCGGCCGGCAACTGAGCGGCTCAACCACTGCGGAACACAAGGGCATCTGAGTCCAGCTCGCTATGCCTTGCACAAGCTACTATGTGTGCTGGTATTCTGACTAATTTTGAGGCTACAACTTAAGTAAGTATCCTATACCGAATAAAATTTTCGTCTATAATACCAATGCCCTTATCTTGTGTAAGCCAATATCAACTGTATGACTTTGAGAGTAGAGACGAATATAGAATAGCAAATTTCCATCTGTGGTGGTCCCTGATGGCTCGTTGAGGCACGTCGCGTACGGGTCTGGTTCTGGTCGGGCAGCTGCTCTTACTCGCCGTCTGCAGACCCGCACTTACGGTGGCCGGAAATTGTTAAACTTCAAATAGATAAATGAATCTTTTTCAAAGAAAATTTATAATCCAAATGCTGCGTAGATTTATCGGTGATCAATGTAATCAGATTTGCCTCTCAATGGTTTTTATTAGTTATCAAACGCTTAATTTATAATAGCCTAAAAAATAATTACTGATTACCTTTTTCACAGCAACAATTAGTCAGAATAAAAACCCACATACCTCACGTGTATAAATAAGCAAAAAGTTTTAACTAAATAAAACTGTCGACCTATTTCGACCCGTTTGTACAACGCACGGGCGGCGAGATCTAGCACACAGTTATTATATACTAAAGAAAATAAAGCTCATATTATGTACATGTATAATGAGTGATATATTGAATGAACATGATAGGACAACCTGTGGTTTTAAAATACTCGAATTGACTTTTTTCCTACGTAATAAGACTTACTTTCGAATGAATTCGATGAGTCTGTTACAACTTTATAAAATCACAGTTTGTTGAAAAGAAAATTTCGTAAACACAAAATGACATTAGCATTTCATTATAATTATCTAAAAATTTGAACGACAACAATAACAACGTACACACTCTTTAGCTAAAATATTAGTTTCTGTACTGACGCAAAAACGAGACAAATTATGGAAAATGCTTAGTGAAATTAATTACTACAATGTGTACAAATCAATCTATACATTACTTATTTTATATTTAACACAAAGCATTTTCCATTAACACATAATAACATTAAAAACGTGTAATAATGATTATACTATTTTTCACATTGATACTACTACTAGTCCTAATAGGTTACTAAACGATACTCAATCATATTTATGTACTACGAGATACACACATAACTGTTTGACAAGGTAACTCGATTCGATTCGACAATGCTGCTCATGACTATGAGCCCCCATCGTGGCTCGAAACTAGTTGGGTTACCTCGTTAAACATTTACGTGCGTAAACCGTGAAAAACGTGAATTTAATCTATTATAATACAAAAAAGCCGCGCTTGTACGACCATTCCATGCCTTATCCAACATACCTTCATAGCATTTCTGTTCCTCTGGGCGGCCACAAGATGGTTGACGACTGGGTCTGGGTAGTCTTTGCCTATGATGCAGGAGGCGCGCTCCTGCACATCGATAGGAGCCTTCCATGGTTCATAACTGGAAGTATGAAGTTGTTTGGTTTAAAGGAGCATTAGGTTTTGTTTCTTTTTGATGAGGTCCCAAAGTAACTATAATAAAAAGAAATTTAGAATAATTTTCTCTCCGTGTAAAGTGTCATTTGAATAGACCGACTTATAAATCTTCTAATTTCTGACTATCGTAAAATTAGAGTATGAAGAATAATAATACTCAATCATTCGTTTGTTGAAAGTTCACATTTCTAGAAGTAAGAGTCGATTTGTGTAATAATAATTAATTTGCACCCTTTTTTCACCTAAAAGTCACCCAGTAATGTACAGAAATCTTATCATATATATTCTTAAGCAGTTATGGGACATCTATGACAGTGATCTGTAAAGTACTAGATAAAAATGAAACAGCAATATCTCACATGTATTCGACGGGCATGCGCGCCAGTTCGGGCACGTAGCGGCGCACGTACTCCCCGCTGGGGTCGAGGCGCTGGCCCAGCCGCACCGGGCACGCGCACTCGCCCGAGTCCAGCAGCGCCTCGAACGCCGACGACGACACCCACATCCAGTTGCCCGCGCACACAGACCTGGCCAAACAGGAGAGTTGAATCGCTATAGGTATTTTTATGGCATAGCCGGTTAACGAGCAGACGGATCACCTGATGGTAAGCAATTGACGTCGCCCATGGACACCTTGAACACCAGAGGCGTTACAAGGTTTTTGAATTTATTTTTAAGAATAAATAATCTCCGTAATAATATCGAATGCGGGGCACCATATAAGCAAAAAGTATTTGTTTTTTAGTCACTGCAGCCAGAACACACGCCTAAATCTACACTAGCGCCACTAGCAACTCGGATAACAACAATGAATAAAGATGTATCAGTTACCTCTGATCTCCTCACCATAAAACTCTTTACAGGTAATTGAGATAAAATAAAATCAACGTATCTATGGTTTTAAAATAAATACTCATTGAGCATATGAGCCTGTTTCCATATCTACACGGCTGGAGACAAGCCTCTTTAATACTTTGACTGCCAATAAAAAAACTGTTGAAGGTAAATCCTCCGCTAACGCCGGTCACCGGTGACTCCCATGGCGTTTAACGTGTTAATACTCTCAAGGTGATGAAATAAATTAACATGTGAACTGTCGGAACGCAGATATACGCGAGACACAATGTGTTTTCTATTGCGTCTCATATATCGACAGACAAGAGGTTGAACAATTTAATTAAAGCAGTATTTATAATAGATCTAGATTTCAGTATTTATAATAGGACTGCCTCATTGGCCGAGTGGTCGCGAGTGCGACTGCCGGGCAAGGGGTCTCGGGTTCGAATCCCGGATCGGGTATTACAGGGTTTTAAAAAATTCTCAGTAGTAACACGGAGTCTGGAATTGCGCCCAGTATATGGCAATACGCTCACCCCCTATTACATGGGACCAATAAAAGTGGGTTACATCAGTGGCATTAAGTGCCGTAATGTGCCCCTCTGCCTAACCCTTAATAACTAAAACTGCATAAAAGGAGTGATGTTATGTTATAATAGATAACTTACCAATCAGCATCAAGCAGATACTTCAAGAAGTGATTGAGCCCATGTTCCCAGGACAGCCAGAGAGTGCCGCGAGTGAGGAAGGACGCGACAGTGTTGCGCGCGGCGTGGTGCAGCCAGCCCTCGGTACGGAGCTGGCGCATCGCTGCGTCCACGAACGGAAACCCGGTGCGACCTTCCGTCCATCTGGAATTTATGTACAATTTGTTGAAAATATTATAATTATTTAAAACGATGCGTCTTTTTAAATATAATATTCGTTAATTATTATGTTTTCGGCTTACTTACGTGAGTAAGCCTAAAACATAATAATTTATTTACTATGTCTCACGAAAGTTACAATACATAATATTCGTATATTTTATTTTAAACATAATTTTAATTTAATATAAAATACGTCGCGACGAGGAAGACAAGGGGAATGCGTTTGTCCAGCAGTTGACGTCTTTCAGCTGTTGATGATGATAATGGTGATGATATTAAAAAATAAGTACTATGAATAAACCAAGCCCAGTTGTATAAAACGACCCATAGTCGACCCAATCAAAACTTTAACTTTCCAAGAGGCCTTATTGGCAGTCGAGTAAAAAGTACAATCATTGTGTCAATCAGTGTTCATTGTGTCAGTTTTGCGTATAACCCACGAAGCAAATTTCAAGTACCTATGAAATCAAATAAAATATAATTAATGAACAATTTGAGGTACCTCTGCAGTTCATCTCCAGCTGGAGTCTTCCAAGGGATATCCAAGCAGATAGGGTTCCCAGCCATCTGGCCGTAGTTAGGGTTGTTCACGCTCATCGTGTAGAAATATTCACGCCAAATCAATTGGCCTGTAAACATTAATAAAATATTACTAATGGCTGAATCCTACCACAACATCTATACCTACAGATAAATAAAATTGGAGAGGCTGTTTGTAATATTGAAATAACTACATGAATACGAAACCCATATCAAAATAACATATATTTATTTTTTTGTCTGTCTGTCTGTTTGTACCTTTACTGGCAGGTAGCTACTATACTAAGGAGTATTTTTATTTTGGAAAATTGAAACAATAAAAATGTCTTAGAACTCATATTCTACGCGGACGAAATCGCAGGCAACAGCTAGTATTCCAATAAAATCAGTTGTGTGATGTGATGTACTATGAGCCTCCTCTACATAAGAAAGGTTTAGCATGATCACGCTTAGTAGGCGGATAGAAGATTGTAGTTCAAAATATTCAGGACTTTCAGGGTGTTGAAGCGCTCCCCGACCCCGACCACTGCTAAAATGTGCATCCCCATCGTCAGCTCATACGAAGCCCTCAGAAGGAATAATGGGGATATAAAGCAATTTTTATAATTTTATTTAATTCTTACCGGTAATAAAATGGGAAGCAGAATTAGAGGTGAGACGTCCTTGGTGCACCTGACGGAACAAGTCCTGTACTGACCAGTAGAAGCTGAAATAGACTCGTCATTACACTCAGCGACCTCCGTCACTGTCGCTGATACGTGAACTTCAATTATTTAATATTTATATATTAAGTAATCAAAATTCCATAATTTTATAAACATGTAGTTTGAATCCTTCCAATAAATGATGTTGGAATAGAAAGTTTCCATTCCAAACGGTATCATTTTAGTATAACTATTTCGCTTCATCTACATATATCAATGTTTTCAAACATTCTCATCGATTTAGAGGATACCGCCGACTTCATTTGGTAGTTTCAATCATTGAGTACTTTTCTAAAAAGGTTTATATTTAGTTGTTTTACAGAAGACATAATAATTGTTCTTACCTCCTGACAGAGAGACATCCGAACCGCAGCGCTGGACTCAAGGAAATGGGTGGACCCAACAAGTCAGGGTTGCCATGCGTTGGTAAATATGAACCCCTGTGGAAGATGCAAATATTAAACAATCATAAATACTACTTACGGCCGATTTTTCAATCATCAGTTAATTCATAACTAAGGAATATTTTTGAATATTTGACAATTAATATTCATATCTTAATTTGCATTCCATAATGTTTCATAAGATGTTACATAATTTCTTCAATACTAAAAATTTATTCTGCATTTAAGAATTAACTGATGATTGAAAAGTCGGCCCTTAATCAGTGCTAAAGTTTCTAATAAAGTATTTATTAGTATTTCTGTAAAACATATCCGAGGGTGTAAGAACTTACTAAAACGTTTCATTAAGCATCGAAGCACTACTGAAGGTCTGTATCACAATGCCCAATAAGTTTGTGAGGGGCATTTAAAATCAAAATTACATTACAAAATATGTGTATATAGCAACTTAATTGGGCATTATGAAATAGGTGCAACCCTACGTGCAACAGTACAAAACTATTCATTTTATACAAATAAAAAAAACATCTATAAAGCTGTGATCATACCTGAGAAAGGTCTCATATTCCACAGCCAGACGCTGCTGCATTTGTTTAAGGGCTGTGGTCTCTCCGCCCACCCAGCGGATCATTCGGATGTCTTCATTTTCTAGGAATACTCCTAAATCTTCCGGTTTTGGAGTCTAGGGACACAGAAGAATAATCTCAGTAATAGGGATGATGAAAGGGTATGAAAATTAAAATTCTAATTAGTCCGTCAGTTAGGTAATGAAAAAATATTAGACACGTATTTTTTTTGTATAGTATAATAAAATGATACTTAGATTATAAGTTATTATAACGAATCAAAGTTTAGGAGTGAGGGCTAAAACGTCATTTCTACGTTTAAAATGTACATAGAAGTGACGTCACGCGACATTTCAAATCAGTATATCGTCGAAAGTATTCATTTCTGTGAAAAAATAAAAAATACGTGTGTAATGTTTTTAAATAATCTACCAGACGGACATTAAACTAAGAATTAGTCATCTACTCTATTGATAAAACGTTTTTAAATACCTGTAAATGTCCTTTTAATAGAAATAATTCTTCTGAAAACTTTGAATTACCTTATCAAAGACGGTAAACTCGTTGTAAAAGGATTCGGGTAGGCTGCCAAACTTGACTCCTGTGAAATCTACCTCGCCGACTGGACGCGGAGGGTCGCCAATGGTGGCCACCGTATGCTAAAAAATGATCAATTTTATTGTTAAACATAATTAATGTCAAACTTCGTGTTTCTTAAAAGAACAATAACCGCTTTTATCAGTATTTCTTCTTCAATTGAAAGAATTTGACGTAACGCAACGTAACATTTAGTTATGCAGTTTTTACTATTATAGCACAACCAACACTAACCAAAAACATTTGATAAGTAAGAGGTGGTATGCCGCCATTGGCCTTAATGACGGTGTCAGGCTCCCACAGAGTATGAGAGACGTGTTCCTTGCAGACGACGCCGATCTCCTTGCAGGCATTCTTCACGCTGTCATCACGAGCCCTCCACACTGGCTCGCAATCCTGCTCGAAGCAGAGCTTGCGGATACCTTGAGATACAATACAAATATTTATGTTAAGAAAATAAAGAACGCATTTTGAAAGCTAATTGGTAGTTGGGGACAGTGTGATAAGGCCTATTACTATTCATAACACTATATATTTCTTTTCTTTCATAGCATGTCTCATCCATCCTCATTTTCTTTGGACAAGACCAGAAGTCGTTCAGCTGCTATACAATACTAGATTTCGAATCAACTTCACCATTGTATACCTATGTACGTCAACGAAGATAAAAACAATATAAGTAGCCGCTAAAAAAACTAAATAAAAACATATCTCTCACCGAATTCCTCCCAAAGTCTCCTGAACACGACATTAGGCTTTCCCTTCAACATGATGAGCCGGCCACCATGCTTCTTGAACTGATTGTCCAAGTCATCCAGAGCTTCCAAGAGGTACCGCATACGGTTGTAGCCCACCACTTTTGTACCTGTTCATTCATTACAAAATAGTCACTATAGATAATGGACTACAAATTAAGAAGCATAGGTCTTATAACATCGACTCCTCAAAATGAGTTTAGGAGAATTTCCTGTCCTGTCCATCAATTACTACAAACAATCCCCAAATTCCTAAATTTCCCCATAAGGCCGGTAACGCACTTGTAACGCCTCAGGCGTTCTAGGTGTGTCCATAGGCGACGCTGATTGCTTACCATCAGGTGATCCGTCTGCTCGTTTACCGGCTTACCCCATAAAAAGTGTCGTTTGTTCACAGATTGTGTGATATGTCTTTTTACTGTTTATTTTTCGCTAAAATGTTGTTTTCGTTCAAATATTTCTTCATCGTCACAATTTTTACTCCCTTTCCTTTAACACTTTCAAAATATGTTTGGGTTTTGATAAATCTCCAGTAAAATAACCGCCAGATAGGTTATTGAGAATAATGAAAAAATGCAATATGAGTCTCACCTGCAGTTTCTCCATCGAAGATGAAGATAGGGAAGAATGGAAACCCTTTCTCTTCGAGCGCAGAGTGCAATGAGGGGTTGTCGTGGAGCCTCAATCCGTGGCGGAACCAGAGTACGCTACCACCAAGCATCGTGGCGATTGAGGGTTACCTGATAAAATAACAAATCAATTAGAATGAGGTTGTGGGACAAAAATAGAATGAATAAGAATGTAGTCTGTAATAGTATCTATTTTTACTCTCCACACTTAACATGAATAGTGAAGACTTTCGATTTGCCATAAACTGCATAAAATGGTATTGATAGGTCAAGATGAGATGGTTACTACAACAAAACAGAAAATAGAAACCTCGATCAGAGAATCTGTAGTTTTAGACTTCCAAAAGAAGTAATCTAATAAATTACGCAAAAAATCTATCATATAATGCTACAGTTAGGTATGTACCTATTCCCGAAAATAAGGTTGAACCAAAAAGTTATAAAGGCTTGTAGCAAAAACCAAATATTTTCCATGAAATCGCTAACAAAACAGAAATACTAAAGTCCTTGGAAACAACGCAGACGTTTCAACTTCGCAACAGAGAAAAAGAGAAAAGAAAACCTTACTTCTTTCCTACTTTATTTAAAAAAAGGTTACATGTCGAAGCCAAACAAAAGTGCTCAGGGTGGCAGTGGAAAAATTACATCGCAATAACTGTACAATCGGTAAATTATAATTATGACCTTTACGTAGACAATCAAACAATAATTCGCGTGAACACTCATTTCTATGGAGACGTCTTTGTTAATTGGACAATTTGAATGGATTTTGCCAAGAGGATCATGTTTCGAATTCGTCTATAGTACAAATTATTACGATCAATTTATAAGTAGAATGACCATGACAAATACTGCAAGCTAGTATGACATAATACTGATAACGTTATGCAATAGTAAACCGATATTAAGTATAAACAAATGGTTCAGAAAACGAGGAAACTTGATAACAATGACCTGTTCATTATTTTCTAATATTATTTACTTAGTTTTGTGCAAATGTATCCTTTAACCTTCGTGATACACAGATTGACTGACATACCTCATTTTACTTACATATCAATTTTTATACGATAGTTCAATGGAAAGCGAGAATGCGGTTCCTAAGTCAGAAGCTGTAGGTAAGAGACCCGCTGATTAGATACATTAATTAACTTGACATTTTTAAATTACTAAATTGTAAGGAAATACTAATAAAAAACTGAATTAAAACGTCCCAAAACTTGTAACTGATATGATTTATTTTTTTTATTTATTTATTAACACTTCTGTATATTAAACATACGATGGCGGACTTAATGTCGGGTGGCATTCTCTAACAGTCAACCATGGGGTGATGCAGAGATGTGCAACAGTAGGTGTAATAGGTATTATGGCTTAATTTATGTGACATAAAAAAATCTATATAAATAAATTCATGATTATGCATAATTGTAAATACATACATAATTATATCCGTATATAAAGCTATAATATAAATTTATATAAGATACATTAGATATCTTATGTAATAAGAATTTAATAAGATTTAAAATAGATTTAAACAAAGACAAGCTTTCATTTATGGAACTTCAATTGTACTTGTTAAGAAATGCGACTCGGTCTGTAGTCATAGGACAGTTCAGGTTCAAGACAGGCGTAGTCATCAGTCCAATTCGTAGAAAACCCTAATATAAATTAATTAATTCAAACATTAAAACCTTTTCCCTCGTTTTATCCATAAGTTGACAGATCCAGATGCTATCAATCACTGTCGTCAATCAAATGAATACATTTCATCAATAAAAACAAAAGAAAGTGAGCAAAAATGAATACCTTTACCTGCGCGAGAAAGAAACACAAATGTGTCATATAGGTAAATGAAATTCAGTTACATTTTGAATTTAAATTGAAGCCTGAAATCGAAAACAAAGAACTTTCCCTCATATATGAATTAACTAAGAATTGTTTTACAACACATCTTTTTTATATGATATTTCTAAATAAATTTATTTCTTCGGCATCCAAAAACCACCTGCCAATTTGGCAATCTATGATCTAATATTTTGAATATAGAAAAACAAAATGAAAAAAAGTGTTAAAAATCGTGTCACTATACACTACTGAGAATAACTTTGGTAGGTACCTATTTTCTTTATAGCTTTAGTTTAAAAAAAAAGAATATTTATATTTCCCTTCCCTAAGTTTCTCGTTCTTCCCAAGTCTTCGTATTAAAAGCAAATCCCGCTTACCGTATACCGTTGGTTATTAAGAAATTTCATAAGAAAAATTAGTAGTAAGGACTTTTTTAAATGAATAACGTTGGCTGAATTAGGCCCCCGGTGACCTTTCAGTAATTGTTCTTGCTGTCGATTCAAAAATATTGGCTTCACAAGCTTCTTTGAAATACCTAAACAAATCAACCAACGCAAAAGACCACAGCGTAAATTCGCTGAATACCTACATGAAATTTAAACTCGCAAACCAATATTTATTGTCCACAGAACCAATTCAAACATCCCCTGATTTTGCATTTGTTGTGATTCTGCATTCAGTCAAACTCGTAGTAATTTACATGAAAGTAATCCAATTTGTATAGCTTTTCATACTTGAAAGTGCTAGTTCGTAGTTACTTATTAACAAGATTCTTTGCTGTTATAAGCAAATAAATATGTTTACGCTTCTCTACAAAATTAATAAACTGATGGCATCATGCACAGAGCATTGAAAACCAGTTCGTTAGTCACCTAAGGTAGGTAATATTCAAGATTATAATTGCATAATAACACAAGGTTGTTCCGTAAACACTATCGCGAACCTTGCACAGTAACACGCATGGAGAACTAAACGAACGCAACTCCATGCAACGCGGTGCATCGGCACTATTATTCAATAACCTAGCGACCACAACACACGTCACCCACAATATTATCTCAATGCTCACAACAAATCTATGTCAAGAATAAATACTAATACATTACAAACAAACCATTTTCACTCATACTCACAACAAACTCGTTCAATTTCAAATCGAGATTCCAATAATTATACACGTGCCACTAGTCTGAGAGACGAATGCGTACTGAGGGCGACACTCCGCAAAACTCAGCAGCAAATAAACCCGTACCTTCTAGAACGTTCTACGTTTCCGATATCGCACAATAAGCAACCTTTGAAAGTCACCCGACCAACGGTAGTTGAGCTGCGGGAGGCTCAGTGTTAAATAGCAGGAAAATGGTCTAGATGGGTCAAGGATAGACAGCTAAGAAAGTTTTTGCAATCTGCGAAAGCACTGGAAATATAAATTATACAGTTGCGGTACTTCAGGGACGATGTTATGAAACATGCATATAATTTTCTTATGCACATATATACGGCACCTATTTATGCTTGCAGTCAATTCCAATCATATGCAATTGAAGAAGCGTATTATTGACCTGTTTATTGATTCACGGTGGGATTGTGAATTTGTGACGTGATCACTTGCAGGATGATTCTAAATTCTAATGTATCCTATTTTACAATGACACTTTGCACTTCAGTTAGAGAAGTCAGATTTTAATCAGTGCAGAGTTATTTGTCAAAGACACACCTCTCCCTAGGTACCTCAGTTGTGTTCATGGTCTAAAATAATACTAATTGAATACTTTATTGATTCCAAGTTTTTTTTTTTTTTAAGTGGGGAAAATCATCGAATGACTGCTCCCGCCTGGGTGAGGCGGAAGGGAGTGTCAGACTCTTACTGACTAAAAACCACCCCGTTCCTTCTCCTGCACGTCGAGCCGGAGCCCAGGTTACCCGTTAGGTTCTCCGCGACTCCGAATCGGCATCGGCCCTATTGGGCCCCATCTGTGGTGGTCTGATGGCTCTTTGAGGCGCGCGTGGAACGATTGATTCCAAGTTAGCAACATAATAACTATACCATACTGCTACAATCGTTATCGCTGATGACGCAAACGATTACGCCCTTGACAGAAAATGCACAGATTATACTGAGTTTTCCAAAAATGCCGCGAAAATGTTGATGCAGTTGGCCATTACTTTCTAACCTTATCCACCTTACAAATTATAATCGGTATTTATTTCTTCTTTTAATTTAAGTACGAATAAAAGTCAATCTATAAATAATAATGTCGACAATGCAAAGCGATCACAATACACTCACTGTGTACGAAAAACGTCTACATTGCAATTTATCCATGTATTCATGAATTTATAAACATGTCACCATTTTGAATACTTCTAGAATCTTCTATAACTTAGATATTCCAAGGAAACTTCCTTAGTATACCTAATATTGAGAGGTACTCATCTGATTCAGATGGGGATACAATCAAAAATTTACATGCAGTTTATTTCATAGGTATCTATTGTAAATAATGCATTAATTGCGGAAAAAATACAATTTACTGACTTTTGCTCTATTAAGTTACAAGTGAATTAATGGAAAGAGTAGATTACCAGTGAATTTAAACGCAAAATAAAGGTGATGATACCTACATACACACCCCAAAATAATTAGCACCATATGGATTAACTTTATGCCAACTTTTACTTCATTACTTCCAAACTATTATTGATCTCTATGTTTTCACTTCTTACTCAATCTATCTCCTTTCTTCTTTATATTCATCAACATTTAAATCCCTTTCTCCCCAAGTAATTATCAAAAGCAATCTAAATCTGTTGGGTGACGTAAAAGGACGGTAACGTAACATCGCTTGGCAGTCTGGATTGAATCACATTATTGGATTTATGTCTAACGCAGAAACGGGGTTGATTGTTAGCTGCGAGACGAGACGAGACTACATACATACATACATAGATAAATAGAAAAGTCCAGGTAGGTTTATATTTTCTATCAGGATCGATTACAGAAAATAAAGGGACATCTGAGCCTGTGAGCGAGTCGATGGTTATGTAGCAAAACTGTAGTTTGTCCGATTTAGGCACAACTTGATATTTTCACTTGGCTTTGGGCGTTTTAGTAATGGGAGAATTCAGCTAGAGTTCTACAGAAAGGTCCTGTAATAACTGCGAGGCTAAAACCATTTTCAACAATTAATCTTAATAATACCTAGTTACATGATTTCTGCCTCTTATTATACACTTTATAAAGAATATTGTGAAATAAAAGGGTACAATTTCAGTGTAACTTTGAGTTTATTTTTAATTGAAAAGAAAACCTGGCAAGAATTTTCACGGTTGCATAACATTTTTCATCAGTCTTTGCAATGTCGACATTTAATACACAACACTAATAAATTACCTAAGACCCTTTTTTGGCAGGTTTATTCTGTATGAATAAATGATATTCTAAATTTCCAGACATTTCTGTCTCTTTCTACAATAGAACCCAGGGAAAGTTGATTAAAATCTTACATTTCATTACTAACGAATTTCGGAAACCTACTAACATATGAATTAATTTGTCTAGAGCTGTGAAGCCTAACAAATCTAGCAATCATAGAACTGAGAGCCATATTTACTAATACTGTATGAGAAATATAGGTCACAGCTAGTCAAAGTGCTGGCTTTGAGAACGTTTTATTGGCATACGTAACAACTACTCTGCTTATCGACACAAAACCTATTAAACTGAGACATTTTTTATTCGTTTAGAGAAAATATGATAGCATTATCTTCACACCTGTTCCTGGTTTTGGATAGATAGGGAGAGAGCCATACTTCGGTACGAATGGGCTGGCCGGCGTACAGACAGAACACTATCGTGAAACAATTGCGTTGAATGTCGTTTCATGAGGTTACCAGAGGACCATCCGGTGGAGCCGGAGGACCAAACGGAATCAGCTAGGCTGTAACTTTCTATTCGAAAGATCGGTGTGAACCCGATCGCAGGCGGTCACGTAATTGGTTGTGAGAATAATCTCGACTAATGACGGGGGAGAATGTGATCAAGCTCACTTCGAAAGGTTGAATTGAGTTACAGAATATTCTAGCAGGCTGGCAACATTTTGGGCAAGAGAGATTGGTTCACTTGCTGTTTGCTTACTATCATCAATCAAGTGATACGTGAATCTTCGTGAATTCCATTAAAAAACTAGTATGGTAGGTGCACTAGGACAAGGATATAAAGTTTGCGGTAACTTCCATAAAGTTGATTACATGACAAGGCTAAGCTACACAGCATTTTATTCCAGGATATCCAAATACAGCGCGTCAGATATACTAACATATTATGTCACACGGAATTTGACGGAATAGCAACTCCTAATTTAATATAATACGTGTATAAATAAACAAGAATGGAATTATATAAAGTGTGTTATTACGATTATTACACAATTAACGTGTCTGGTATCAGTAAACAATGGATGCGGAGGTGAAGGCCACTACTATCCTTTGCTTAGTCGTCAAATTGACGATGTTATTACAAAGTTCCAGATGATGTTTCTAGAAGAACTATCGTAATAAATATTGGATACCCACTACTTAAGGCAAGCCATGAGTAGTTATTTGCGATCGATTTCATCCTCACAAGACGGTTTCAAAGAAGCATTATAACCTTTTAGTCCTTGGTAGTTAGGTAAGTAAGCGAAATCGGATGATTTCGTAAAAATTCGTAAGTTTTTTTTCATACACTGCTTGACATAGGTCACTCGGTCCTCCTCCAATCTTAATAAACAGTAGGTAACTAAGTATGTTACCTTATAGCCCACTAGCGCCACTATTAGCGCAAAACCTCTCATGCACACACAAACAAAACAAAAGCTTAGATTTTATACGTATATTTTATATGAACTTGTCAATTAAACTCCATGACCGTCAGTTATCGGATTTGTGGCTCCCCAATGCAACAAATGACCTAGATCTGTCCAGTTACACTATTCTAGTACCTATGTATCAAGCGTAGCTAAGTTGCAGTTATTGTGGCGCTGTGGTAATTGCATAAGGTTGAAATTCGCGTGTTTGTTGTTTAGTTAGGGTTGTAGTTCGTTTAATCCTGTAGGTCGATTGATATAAGAGTTATAGTCACTGGATGTCTAATGAAGGTTGCGTAACTCTTTGTTTTCGGTATGATGGCAAATTCTACTTTGTTTGTGAATTAATTACCAGCTCTACTGTGGCGTAAGCTTACGAATAGGAGTTTGATAACCAGTTTGGGAGATTCAGATTAAAATCGATTCATTTTCAGTAATACCATAGAGTTCAGAAGTACGCCTGGTATTGGCAATGGCCTTTGGCTCCCTGTTACACGACACTCGTAAATAAAGCGGCGAAAATTTTGAATAAGCGGTTACTGATTGGGCTATACCTTTTTCACACAAACCCCACTGCTCGTGAGTTCGATTCTCGCAAAGAATAACTTTCATTCTTTAACCCGTCCACAACACAGAAGAAAATTGTAGTGTCGAGGAAATGTTTTCACTTTTCCCTAGCACGGAATCCTTACTAATATTATAAATCAGAAAGTGAGTTTGTTTGTTTGTTTGTTCCGCTTTCACGCCGTAACTACTAAACTGATTGCTTTGATTTTTTGCAGACATAAAGTTAGAAGTCCGGATTAAATAATAGGGTACTTTTTATCCCGGAAAAATTGATATACCCGAGGGAAAACGAAAGTATTGGTATAGATGGCGCTGTGTGTATTGGTATATGTCACATAGGCTACTTTTTATCCTTTTGTGACGCGAGCGAAGCCGCGGGTAAAAGCTAGTAAAGGAATAAATTCACAATCACTTCACTATCAAGTTCAGAACAGATAATCTCGTAACTGAAATAATTACATACAGCATACAACCATTATTGTTATTCTTTATAGTCTATTCATTTAACAGTGTGAAGGCCATTGCATCTGTCCAGTTAGATTTAAATAGTCTTCAAGTAATAATTACTAGGTGACATGACAAGATATAACTATTATACCTACTTGTTATTAAAAGCTAAAGAGTTTAATTACTGGTTTGTATTGAATAGTTATTTTGTGTTGTATTGTCTACTTATTGAAGAAGATTATAAAGTGAGAGAGTTGTGTAGAGTAGTGAGACAAAAACAAAGTTACAATACTTTAATTGTTCATTTATTATTTTCTCATATGTTTTTTACCTAGTAAAGGGCTAATATTGATTTCTGTCCCTTCTGGGACCTTATATAAAACTGATACCTTATATAAAACTGATACCTTATATAAAACTAACTATAGTTATAGTATTTTTGGTTAATTTAGTCTCATGATAGTTATTATAAAAACAAGTATTTAGAACATTAAAATTTGCCTAATATTGTGACCAGAATTATTATAACTCATCAAGCTATGAAGTAATTAATTTAATAACTGGGTATTTCAAAACTTTCCTTGTTATTACATTTTATTTTGGATTCTTACTTTTAACTCGTCGAGTACCGGTTTTATAGACACAATTAAAGAACAATGGGTCGCGGTCACCGGTGACCGCTTGGTGTTTGACAGTTTAAAAGTGATTAATGAATACCTTGTTTCTTCTTATTCAGACAGATTGTATTAAAATTGATATTTAAAAAGTTCCTGTACCTATGTAATGTTGTCTCAGACTGTATCTATAAAAAAAATAGTGATCCAAAAAGTTGAATATTGTTATAAATTATTTAAATCCTTACCTATGATTATACAACAACAAAACTTATAAAAAACTGCAGCTTTATGTAAAAAGAGCCTCACTTAAAACTATCTTTGGTTAATTATGATCCTAGTTTCATGTAACACAGTACCCACTAGTACCTACTGTGTTATTACAGAGGTTGTGCAGTGGAGTCGGGACACCCATCCGAGTTACTGACACTAGCCAGTACTCAGCGGAAGGATGATACTGCTAAGACAGAGTACCTACCTAGGTAAAAAAGAACCTGAATGAAACGAGTATGTATATCATCAACAAGAAAACAAGGTCTTTAATTTTTTAAGGTATTTGTGGTTTGGATGATCTGAACTTGGTAAGTATAGTGAATAAAGTTGAGATATAGATATGTTTATCTTTTTACTAAGATTAACATTTATGGAACCAGTTAAAGTAGTTTTAGCTTAATTTTTGCACAAGTACCATTGAGAAAATTATTAAATTATTATATTATGACACAGTCTATCCTAATATGAATTTTGTAATTTTCTTGATTAGTTAACGCTTCAGTGATTATCAATAAGACATTCATTAAGTATTATAGTTTTCATATTTAATATGTTCAAACAATAAAAATAAATATACAGACTTACCTTATGGTCAACAACGCAAAAAAAAACAGCTGATCCAGGTTGTGATGTTTACTGTCAATATTTATAATTTGTACTAAGATATTTTTGTGAATGATAATACAACTACCATTCTGATATCATGTTCCCAAACATTGTATTACTACATCAATATGAAAATAACTTAAACTTTTAAGAAATTAAAATAAATTAATAACAACCAGTATTTTGCTATTTTGACAGTGACAAATTATTGTAGGTGTTGCCACGGCACTTGCCAGTATGCCAGCAGTTAATAAACGGTCATTATAAATTCAATATAAATAAAAAATAGATTAAGTAAATATTTTTAAAATCAAATATCTTTAATAAAATATTATTTGATGCAGTAATTCGTAACAGACACAAAAATATCTATGAAATCATCAAAACAAATCATTCAAGAAACGATGAATGACAGATGTCATCATATAAATTCGTTTCGTTCATTCACATCTATCCCAAAAAATCATAACCTCAAAGTAGATAAAATTAGAAATTGTTAAAAACAGAAATAAATTAACTACTGACAATCATGAATGGTGTAAGAATTATTAGGAACCTCCCACTGCAGTGGCGATCATTTTCACGATGGTGAGCACTACACTTTTATTTTACAACTGCCTAGTTCTTTAGGTTATCAAACATTGAGCGCCCGTCCTGGTTTCATTTTTAACCAAGAAACAGTTCTTACAACCCCTATTATTATATAAACATAATAAAATATTTCTATATATAACATAAGCAATCATACAAAATAACTTTCTATTTATGATTTCAGTGCAATTCTCCGTCAAGAAGTTGCTCAAGCAGCAACTCCTCTGTCTATTCCAGTACCGGAGGGAGTAGACAAACCTGTTTCCCCAAAAATTGACAAAATTGTCTCTGAGATCACAAATCTAAATCTTCTTGAGGTGTCAGAACTTAGTCAGGTTCTTAAAAAGAGGTTGAATCTTCCTGACGCACCTGTAATGCCAATGGGCGGGTTCGTTGCGGCGGCTCCTGCTGCTCGGGATGAAGAAGAGGCTGCTCCTAAAGCTGTGAAGACTAGCTTTACTGTAAGTATCTACTTGTTTATGTTTAGTAACAACATTCCACTTATGATTTGAGTATTGCATGCAGTCAATCTTACCAATAAGAACATGGCCCTTATGAATCAAGTTAATTTAAATCAATGATATTCATTTTTGTAAATGTTGCACAAAGTAGCATTTGTACTCATCTTCGAATGTTATAAATATTTTTGTATTAATTTTTAAACTTACCCCTTCAGGTAAAACTCACCAAATTCGATGACAAACAGAAGGTGGCACTCATCAAAGAGGTCAAAGGTCTCCTAGAAGGTTACAATCTTGTTCAAGCCAAGAAGTTTGTTGAAAGTGTCCCCACAGTTGTAAAGGCTGATGTGTCCAAAGATGAAGCGGAAAAACTAAAGGAAGCTCTCAGCAAAGTCGGAGGCGTCATAGAAATAGAATAGATTGTTATGCTAGGTTAAGTGTTTAGTATGTAAATTATTTAGAGAAATTACAATAAATATAAAAATACATTTCAAATATTTGTGTCTTATTTCTTTTTAGTTGAGTCCCGATCTGTTGAAATCAGTTAATCAATTACATCCATGATAGTTACAAAAGTTCTTTAAACATGAGTAATGATAACATTACGTAACATCACGCTTTTTTCATCTACGAACAGGGTGAGCCTATTGGCATAATACTAATTATGTTAGTATACTGGACACCATACTACGGCGTTAGAAAAGGCAAAAATCCCAACAGTTATTTACTTGACCCAGCCATCGAATCAGAGACCACCTGCTTGGCGAACAATCGGCAGTTATCTGTATGTGATCTTATAGAATCTGTCGTACAATTAGCTCATTATTTAATCAAAGCGCCTACTATGAAAATGACCGCAAATTTACGTCCTATAAAAATAGATCGATAAGTTTTATAAATTCAAGAAATAGGTAGAGCAGTCAGCTAGAGCCTCTTTCTCAAGTAAAAAAAACAATATCTTTTTTTACATCAGGTTTCATACAGGTTTCCAACGACCATAAATTCTTCGATAGAATCAATACCATTTCTTTATACTATGTCAATACGATGTAGCGTACCGGTATGCGCTCTGACTTCGGTCGTTCCATCATGACTGAGGATCGTGATCATTCTGGCATCACTGTTGATCGGACAAATTGTCTCCATCGGCTCCAGCTCCTGTCTGCGGTCATGTGCATTGTGGCGTAGAACCTCGGTACTGGGTTGTCCTTTAGCTGGTCAGATCATCCCGTTGGGGATCGTCCTCTTGCCCTTCTTCCTTCAACATTTCCCTCGACAATGAGCCTCTCAAAGCTGTCTCTCCATGTCTCGCTATATTTCCAAAGTAGCTCATGATCCGGTGAAGGTACGAAGTGGAGAGGCGGTCTGCAAATTTAAGTTGCGATAATATTTGACACATTTATTTATTGTTTATTGATTAACACAGAATGCTGCTCATGAAAATAAGCCTCCAGCAGGGCTCGAAACTAGTCGAGTTCCTTGTCAAATGTCAAATAATTACGTGAGTAAGCCGAAAAGGGTAATTTAATTAGTATGTCTCACGAAAGTTATAATACAAAATATACGGTGTACAAAAATTTCAATAATCAATTTAAATTACTAAAATTATGTACAAAAGAAAACTAAATTAAATTACATGATATAAAAAAGCGTTAAAACATTATAGTGTCTTCAAAGATCACTGTGGAGTACCTATCCTCACTGTACTGTAGCACCAAATGCTTAAGGTCAGTAGGAGTTCCGATGTAATAAAGATGCGTCACAGGCAGAAGTTCCTTTTGAAGGAGAAGAAGACATGCTCTTCGAACAATTTACTTTATTTCTATTACATTATTATTATGCACGGTTTGGAAGATATTTTCTCCTCCTCAGGACGCTCAGATTATCGAAGGAACTTCCTGCCGCAATTATCTCCACAGGTTCTTCAGAAAAGGCATACCTGCCGCATATTTTCGTCATCGACCCTCACGACAGCATATGCATCCCCATCATATAGATGGTTGGCAGGCCACAACTGTGCGCTTCTCACGTAGCTTTCTGCCTCGCACAGTAAAACTATGAAATGATCTGTCGTCAGCGGCATTTCCGAACCGATACGACCTTCTAACCTTCAAGAGCGTACCTTTTTAAAAGGCAGGTAACGCACTTCTAACTCCTCTAGTGTTGTGGGTGTCCATGGGCGGCGCTGATCGTTTACCATCAGGTGATACGTCTGCTCGTTTGCCTTCTATTCCATAAAAAATACCACTTTGGTTGGCAATGCACTTGTGATTCTTATTTGCTTGTCGGACAACAGATCTTTAAGATCGGTTTTCGTTTAAACAATTGGACCGTCTCTACCTACATCACGTAATGTGTCTATTATATTTGCTTAATAATCACAGTCTATCTAACAACCAATTTGCACATGCTTGAAAATACACAGAGCAAGCATAAGATAAAATTTTAATTTCTTAGGTCATCATCACTAGGCCCAATTTTTGTTATGGGTAGACAATTTCATAATGTTTTGCAATGAATATTTCGTTTGCAGTGAAGCTGAACTGGAGATAGTGGATATTTTAATGTAGATAAAGTTTAAAGATATTTTTAGATTCTCGTCTTTTGGACATAGATAAGTAGGTATCTCGTGTCTTATGTCGATATTTTTACTATTTCATTGGATGACATTACCACTACATGTAAAAATGTAATGTCCCTATCGGATTTGCTGGCTCGAGTTCCATGAGTGAACAGTGCTGATGCTGATGTGTCAGGTTGAGCACTTCTAATAAATGCATATTCAGATTTTCGAAACATAGATCAATTTTATAACATATATTCTGAAACTGTTCATAACAAATCAAACTAAGTGGCGGTCTCTATAGGGATAGACGGACGTGCCTTCCAGATATAAAAGTTGGGATAATGAAAACCGAGAATCATTTAATTTTTAGTCTGCCCAACAGGATTTCGTCAGACAAGATCCAATCTCAATACAGTATAAAACTGCAACACGTAACCAGCCTAACACCTAACTAGGTGCTACTACTATTAATATTTAAGAGAACAAAAACACGTGTGTGCTGAGTGATTGTTATAAACATAAAAGACCCTGAGATTGCTGCGATCAAGACGTGTAAAAAATAAAACAAACATGTACCTACCTAAGCTATGTCAGGTACAAGTTTTTTACTTATGTAGGTATAGATTCATAGAGACTGCTATACAGACACGCCAGTCGATAGCCAAATGCGCTTAGAGCACAAGCAGTCAAAGCAACACAGTGATTATGATAATTATATAATACTTAGTTACGTATTTTTGTATTTGGCCTTGTTCAGATAGAAAAAACAAGTTGATATCCTAGTCCGCTCTTAAACAGCGCGCGGCAAGCACGACATTGCGTGTGTACTTTAAGATAGCAAAATTATTGTTCTGTATTATTTGTATTTTTTCCTGTGACAACTTCAACTCAATATTATCTAACTAATAACGTGTATATTCGCATTATATTCCATATAATATCGTTCATTCGGAGTGTCGTGACGGTGTTTAGGTGTGTTATCAAATCTGTGTTGATAAAATGTGATCACAGAGCGGAGGTGTGCATGTAATATCATTTTTAACTCGGAAAATGGAAGTGAGCAAATATTTGAAAAAGTTTAAGTTGTTATTGGACTATGTGTTTGAAGGAAAAGTTGTGTTAAATGAGAATACTACGGAAAAGCTATTGAAACTTCTGGAAGATCGCAGTGATAATAGTGAGTGGCGCACTATATTTTATATTTTACCATACCACAGATTAATTAGAACATGTTTATAAACTTAAATGTCAACTTCATACGTCATATTTCTACATAACAATACATAGCCAGAGAAGCATATTTTAAATGAACTTCTAGTTTCAATTATTTCCATGTTTCACAAAAAACAATATATTTTTTGCCAAACCAATACTTAGGAAGTGTTCGGTACTTAGGAATCCAATAATTACTTGCGATTTAAGACCTAGCATAGGTACAACAATAAAAATATGCGAAGGAAGATATTATCTCCGTAAATAAGATTGTTTCTATCCTATATCCAAATTATGAACACAACAATTCAGAAACGTCGTCATTTATTACACCAGTCCATATAAAGATTACATCAACAAAAAAGTAATGGAAAAATAAGTTCTCAAGTCTCAACTGTTGGATCCAAAAGTGGCAAAAACTCGAATAGTTGTTTATAGAAAAAAAATCTGACGATTTAAGCTTTTATACTGTACGTATATACGAGTTCACTCGTAACCAACTATATGTATTTAGTGGTGTGTCTATATTAAATAACAACTCGCATAGGTACTTAACTAAATAAATACCAAAGTAAGTAAGTCAGCAATATTTACGCCAATCATGATCTTATTGTTTATTTCGCTTTAGTTAGTACTACTACAACTACTAACAGTAGTTGGCGCCACTGAGACGTAAAGAACCTGTTCTGTCAGCAGCTACATACAATGTTTACTCACGAATACCCACAGTCCAACTACATAGTCACTTACAAATTGTGCATGAATTTCTTTATAGTATAGTTTATTAAAACTAGACCTACAAATATATAGGTATCAATCTACATTTCTATTTATTTACATTTAACCTGGCGTAGCGTATTTTGAAGGGCCCCCGTATAAAAATATGTTTGGGGGCCCTTATAAAAGTTAAAAATTTATCTTTAGATTTTTTTTACATAAAATACCTCCTCTGCCCAAATTATAGGACAATGATTACTTTAGTTTTTCCAAAGTTTCTGCCATGTAATAGATTTCTCTATTCCATGGTTTCTGCCAACCTTTGAACGCATGCACTTTGTGATTACTAAAATAAAACATAAATTGAGAAGTTTTTATATGTTTGCTTACACACGTTGGGGGCCCCCGTAGTCTGGGGGCCTCATATAATTGATACGGTATATACGGCGCTAGCTACGCCCCTGTCTTTCCTTTTATACCTACTTCTTAAGCTACACCAAAGATTCACATCCGTCTAGTCGGAGTACAAAGAAAACCATTACTATTTTCGAAACCAGGTGAATTCTTAAAATATTACATCTCTCTGTGCTCTCTAAACACGATGAGGACATAACGTGTTGCCGGGGCTCCGACTCGAAGTGCAGGAGTAGGAACGGGGTGGTTTTTAGTCAGTAAGAGTTTGACACTCCCTCCCGTCTCACCCAGGCGGGAGCAGTCATTCGATGATATGCACCCCTTAAAAAAGACGATATATATTTCCAATGTACGTATGCTATGCTGAAAGTTAAAAGAAAAGAATTCATGCTCTGACTAAATGAAAATTAGTTTACTGCGATGATTATTTAGACAGGATATTTGTAGGTACTCATGCAGACTCATACAATAGAATAGTTAAGTGGAGTGAAATCCATACACGAACTTCTTAGTCTTAAGGCATCATCTAGATTCTTTGATATTTTAATAGAAGCAGCTAACGTTAGTTATCACTATAGGTATTTTAAAATACCTAGCTGTGCTAATATAAGAGTGAGCTGAAATTAGCCAAAAGTGGGTGATTGTGTAGGTAAGCCTCTTCGGGAATTAACATGATGTTCATGATTACGCAGGATTTCTTTACGGACTTTGATATGAAAATAATGCTGCGTCATCATTATCACCGCTAGTCACTGTTTGTATTATGGAACGCGATAGCCATCGCAGTGTAGCGCCATTTTCCCACTGCCAAGGGCGTATGTTTATATTACAGACGATAATATTTGACATTTTAAGTTTATCTCATTATTGGCTAACGATATAAAATGGGCATAGTCATCGTGTATTCGCCCGATAACATGGCAGTCACCTTACCTTAATTTTTCTTTATATGCATATGTGCAAAACTGATCTGCTACTGCTTTAACAAGCAGTGGCAGCACCGGTGCTTTTTCTTAACTTTTTCGGCGAAGTTCTATATTTTTATATGTAGGTACATCTTTTCCGCTTAGGTATAAAAAGGTCCACAAGATTTAAGTTCCCTAATTTTATTCAACCGTTGTAATTATACGCCGGATAGACACATTTCGTTCACTCATCTTTTTTTATCACGGTAAACATCAGGTAATCCTTGAACCATAAGTGCATAATGAACTAACAATAAATATTACGCACAATTAAAGATTTAAGTCTAGATAAGAATAGATCAAAAAATGGCAAACTGATTTCTGCAATGTTGTATACAATCTCTCATTGCCATGTCAACAGCAGTGTATGCGCAAGAGCTTACTATAAGGCGACAGGCGACACGCGCTACTGCTATGCTATCCTATAATATCTGTCAATTTGAACTTTCGAAGTGAGCTTGATCGCATTCTCGCCCATCATTGGTCGAGATGATTCTTACAACCAATGACATGGTGGACTGTGATCGAGTTAACTTTGATCTTTTAATTTAAAAAATTCAGAATAGTCTAGCTGAACATAATCGGGTGCTGACGTGTGTTTTACGAAAACAGCATCCACGTTTGGCCAGTTATGTACTTAAACTAGATGTGAAGAATCTTAACAATATAGATACCTACATTTAAGAAAATCGAAAAAATCCAATCATATTTCCTTCACTTGTTGAACTTACGTTCCAATTCAAACCATTCCAACAATAAGCCAGAAACATCACAAAGACCAAGCAGGAAAAAGACGTAAAAGTGATATTTAATTAGTCACCTTCATCAATTCAACTGTTTCCTTGTTAACAATTAAACAGAAATAGACATTTAATAACAAGTTTGAACACACGTTAAAAGCCAGACAAGATTGAGACGGTGTAGGTACGGTGATAGATTTTAATATACTGTGTAGATTTTTTTTATGGTATAAACCGGTAAACGAGCAGATGGATCACCTGATGGTAAGCAATCGGCGCCGAAACACCAAGGCATTACCGGCTTTTTGGGAATTTGAGGATTGGGGAGGATTCGGGGATTGGGGAGGTCTGCGGAGGGGGTTAATTGGGTAACCTCACTCACACGAAGAAACATAACGCCAGCGTTGTTGGTTTTCTGTGAGGCCGTGGTATCACTCTAGTCGAGCCGAAGCATGGCTCTCGACACTTAAACGTAGATTCACCAATGCGACAGATCCTTATAAAAAATGACAATAATTTCCTTGTGTAGGTATCTAATAATCTTAATCTGACTTGCTTATCGTGGATTAATCATTTCAGTTAATATTGTACGTCGATTCTTATGATAACATATTTTACCTAAAACGTCATCAAGCAGATGATTCACATACGTAGATGGTTGAACGAATCGCTAATTTTATCGCTTGCTAAGTCATGCTTACTTTTCAATAACACGGAGTAAATAAATAATGTTTACTTTCTAGTTATTGCATCATGCATAAATATTTACTTTCTAGGACTTGGAAGCTGTTTCATTTAAGAGATAACGTAATCAGTAACTTAGTAGTACCTACCTAACTTAATTAATTTGATTATATTTAGCACAGACAGAATAATATTTGGTGCAAATCTGCTTGTTACGTAAAGTCTAACTCGACCCTTTTCTATTTTCCAGGTCCCGGCAAACTTGTATTGGATACGCCTTGCTTCTCAGATCTCATATTTCATTCACTCGAGAGCATACACAATGCCACGACATCAGTCAAAATATTCCTCTTTGAAATCGTCACGATACTCTTCAAAAATGAGCTTCAGTTTGCCAAAATACATAGTTCGATTTTCACATGCATTCTCGCCAACTTGAGCACTAAAAATCGAGGGCTTAATTTGGCTTGCATAAAATTGGCAACGGTGCAGATAACGCATCTCTCTGGACTGAAACTACTCCTTGAACATAAAGTTTGGCAGTACATACTAACTGAAAACACCCACCGGGCACCTACCAAAATAGCTTATGCTTCTTATAACTTTATAGCCAAATTGATTTTGGAGTTGAACGAGTACGAAATGGAAGCAGAACTGTCAGAAGTACTGGATTACGTCGTTAAACCTATAATATCGAGCGCATATCAGACAGTGAAAATTATAGACAACGAGACGGACACAATACTCTCAGAAAAAATATATTCCTATATGTACGCGCTGCTAAACGTACTGAAGACTATGGAAGACATTCCGGTAAACCACGTGATAAAAATGTTAAGATCGTATTTATTAGTAGAGCGCTCTATATTTGTTATATGGAAAGTAACTAGGTATCCGAATTTACTGAAATTAGCAAATGATATAATATTTATATTCTATTACAGTTCTCATAGACACAATCTCTTCAATGGTAAAACACAAGAATTTTGTAATGAATTAGTAGTCTTCTATCACAACTGCGTACAACGTTGCATTAAAAAACGAGAAATGTCAGTTCTCATAGACTATTGCATTAAGTGTAACATATTCTGGTCCAAATTCGAGAAGACTTACAAAGACAAAATATTATTCCCACTTTACTTTGAAAGAAACGGAATCAAATTCCAAGTGTCCGACCAAGTATTTGTGTTTTTGATTCAGCCTTTATTGATGTGTGCAATTGAAATCAAACCCGGTCGGACGGACGCTGAAAAACAAGAATTTATTGAAAAACTTCTAACAAAAATTGGAAGAACTTTAGCGGAGCATATATTCACACTATGCTATACGTATAAGCCCGTTATAGAAGCCCAAGATTTGACAGAAACCGCTATTTCGACCATCAGAGAGATGTCCAGATTGAAGGACTATCTCACGCAGACACAGGCAGGCCTTTATTTTATAGGTCTGTACCACATATTGGATATTTATATATTATTGGACGGAGCTGGTGGACTCATTGTGAACGACAATCCCATAAAGACTCCGAACGATGTGAGACTATTATCACTAGTTCTAGATGCGATACGAATGTTGCTGAAGGATTACAACATATCGTGGTACGAGAACGTCGAGATCGCGAGTCTGCAGGAGGGTCTCATGAATTTGCTCAAGCAAGACATCTTGAATATAAAGGTAATAAAAAGCTTTCTGTTGTTCATAGTTGCATTCGAGTACCAGTTCCAAGAGTCCCTCAAGGGTTATACTTGGACCGATCTTAAAAAAGCCATGAAGGAATCAATTGAGATTTACTTATTAGAGCCTATTGCTATTTATTCTATGCTTGACACCCAATAGATTAACCAGGCAACAAATACAATGAATAGTAAATTAATACAGATAAAATTAAATTTTCAGCTAATAGTACAAGTGTTAGATCTGATAGACCTTTGCATGAAGAAGTTCCTGTCCCCGAACATGACGCTGCTGGTGGAAAGCAGGCAGGAGAGCACATTGACTGTGATAGGAGCGGTCATGAAGACATACATGCATCACGATGACTGGGAGGTACGGGACTCAGCTTTGAACCTACTACTAAGCTGTACGGATCTCTCTTTTATTAGTAAGTGTCTAATAAAATTATAAGTCATTCAATAATAGTCCTTTTTTAAATAGAATAAAACACAGCTTCACTTGTACGGCCCCCTATTCTAATCACTATAGTTATCGGATTAAGTACCTATATTAAATGTCTCCACATAAGTAGGGACGTGATACATTATAAGTCTTATCGTCAAACTACGCTAATATGTTTTGACAACTGAAATTTACTTGAGTCAACAATTTGACTCACTTCGGACTCAAAATTGGAAGACTTGCTAACTAACGTAAAAGAAAGATGGGCGAGAAAAATAGAGAACTCCGCATTAATAAATAATGTACTATAGTTCGACTTGCCCCTTATACACAACATGCGAGACTGAGCAAGCAACTAAAATCTAAAAATATTAATTTAACCTCTATCATTCATGGAACCGGTCATATTAGTACGCAGTACCGTCTTCACCACAAGGGCGCTCGAGGGAGTGTCAGACTCTTACTGACTAAAAACCACCACGTTCCTACTCCTGCACTTCGAGCTGGAGCCCCAGTAACCCGTTAGGTTCTCCGCGGCTCCGATCGGCATCAGCCCTATTGGGCCCCATCCGTGGTGGTCTGATGGCTCTTTGAGGCGCGCGCGGAACGGGACGCGCCGTACGCTCGGGTTTGGTTATGGTCGGGCGGCGAGCCATCCATGCTTGCCGTCCGTAGGCCCGCGCTTACGGTGGCCGGAGATCGGTCTCAGCCTAGTCTAAGACGGCCCTGCAAGTACGGCGGTTACTACAACTTTAAACCTAGCCTTTTTCGAAAAATTCTAATGCGATTGACATTTATTTACATAATATAACTATTAAACTCAGCATAAGTCGACGAAACATTGAGTCTAAACTTATTACCTCATTTAACTAATAGACAAACAAATCATTGTCTTATTTTCTTACCTACATATTTCAGAATACATACCCCTGCAGAAGGTGATAAGTGAGAACAACCTGATGATCTATGCAGCGAAGGCCGCGCTGACAGACCCGGAGTACTACGTGCAGTCTACCGGCCTCAAGTGTTTGGCTGCAGCTACTAAAATCGACTGCATTTGGAAAGAGGTGCTCATCGATAATCCGCATATCTATGTGAGTATTTCATTTCTATAATAGTTATTGGAAATGTGATTCGACGGTAGCGAGAATATATGGATAGGTTGTGTGATGAATGATATGCTTTATTTCAATTTGGGTAACCAACAGCTACAGCATATCTTTAGACTGGTTTTGCGAATGCAATGCACAAAAAGTAGAAAATTAAAGATATCTGTTTAAAAAATTATGACAGAAAAGCGAGTTGATGATGTGATAAGAAAAATGTAGAAAAATGGTTACTGGAAAAATACCGTAACATCAAAGAGATATATTTTATAGTGATTTATAGGAAAATTCAATTTCTTAAAAATTTCCTTTAAGTTTATTAAACAATACTTTCTACAATTTCAGTTCCAACTGGTCTACATATTAAGAAACAACCCAGAAGGAATGGTGCGGAAAGAAGCAACGAAAGTGCTGACCAGTGCTTATAAGAACCAAAAATTGTCACCAACGTTTCAATCAACATTGTACGAGGTAATGATATCAGCAGCATTGGACGACCTGCACTGGGAGGTGCAGTTGGCGGCACTACAGTTCTTCAAACATGAGATAGCCAATCAACTATCACACCGAGGAATGATAGACGGGAAGTTCCCATCCGTCACCTTCTCGAAAGAAAAACGGAAGATCATAACGTTAAACGACAGAGAAATCCTTCGACAACTCACAGCTATAATGCACACTCTATCCTCAATAGGCTGTCTCACAGTACTCTACGAATGTATGAACGAGATGCATCACCTAGAAGTCATGGAACAAGCTTACATCATGGCTACCGAACTAATACAAATACTAGATCAATATAAATTCGTCAGAATCATTGACAATGCTCTCACTTACCCCATGGGTCCGAAGAACGACGATCATGACGAAGAAATGGCTCTAGATTTGACCAGAGCAAATAATGCTGATGCCAGAGAAAAAGTTATAGATGGCATAGTCAATACTGATCAAAGTGAACTCTTAATGATTCTACATGATAATAGTTTTCAAACTAAATCTAATGAAATGGAAGAAGACTACAGGGTGTTTGTAGATCGTAAAGAAATCATACATCCAAACAAATTCCTAGAAACATTCAAAGGTACGAATTACCGTGCAATAATTAAAGAAAAGAAGAAATGGAATTCAGATGTTAACCATAACTTAGAAGGACTGCTAGATGAAATTTTAGACATATAAGTTCTAAATGTAAGCTCGTCAAGTATTGTTTAAGTTCCAAATGATCTAAGTATTTTGATTCGTATTACTTATATTAAGTTGTAAATAAAAACAAAGTGATTTTAAGAAAATATAATGTTTACGCTTACTTAAAGTAGCATTTTTCTTCGTAACAGTAACAGTTTCTTCTTAATTAATAACAATCTAGTGCATTGGCGTCTTCATTCACTTCATATAGGCATAGAACATCATCGAGTAGGGAGGACAGACTTCTAATACCATCGTTCCATACTCTCTTATCTTCAATAATCTGTTTAAAGTCTGTATTTTTGATGTATGTGGTGAATAAGTAGGGGGAAGCAAATTTTATTACCTTTATCTTTGGTCTTAAGGGAGGTTCTGGTTTGGTACTTTGTAGTGTCATGTGTCTCTCGTATATACTAGCGAGTAGGTTGACGTCATCTGCGTTTAAAATTTCCTCTATAACATTCTCAGAGCTCTGCGCATCAATCATGTCTACATTGTCATCTGTATAATCCTTTTCTTCTTTAATATGAGTGAGTAGTTGATCCACGCTAGTTATATCACCCTCTTTCGGTGTAATAGTGTCTGGTACATTATGTCTTTTAAGTATATCATAAAGTTCTTGTGCTATATTTAGAGTGGCTTCCATTATCCCTACTTCAGTTTGGTCATGAAGTAATGTAACAAAGACGGTAAGACATCCGATCGCTGATAGTTCCTCTAATATTTTTATTAATCTCCTTTGAATCTCTGCTTCATTGAGCGTGACTATTTTTCTAGTTTCTCTAGAAAATGTGACTGGTGGGAAGTTTCCGTCGAGCATACCTTGTCCGGTGAGGAGGGAGTGGTAGACGGCCCTCCAGAACTTGAGTGCACTGATTTGGACCTCCCAGTGGAAATCTGTGAGGGCGGATGAGACCATGTGTTCGTATAGCGTCTGTGTGAAGGCTGGCGTCAGTTTCATGTTCTGGTACAAGTCGCATAGAACACTACATGCTTCTTTTCTCACGATGCCTTCTTCATTGTGCCGTAGAATGTAGAGTAATCGATCCTGGAATAGAAATAAACGTAGTTTTACTTACATGGACAAAATTATTTGTTGAAGTCCTAAAAGGAGATTTTGTAGAACACAGTGTCTTCATTAAAAGCAACAGCATAGTTAGAATTGCATAGTTTATGCATTTCATATTTTTTTATGGCATAAGCCGGTAAACAAGCAGACGGATCACCTGATGGTAAGCAATCGGCGTCGCCCATGGACACCTGGAACACCAGAGGCGTTACAAGTGCGTCACCGGCTTTTTGGGGATTAAAACTTTGAGGATCGTTGGGGACTTAGGGATTGGGGAGATTGGGGAAGGGGAAGGTAATTGGGCATCCGGTAACCTCACTCACACGACGAAACACAACGCAAGCGTAGCTTCACGTCGGTTTTCTGTGAGACCGTGGTATCAATCCGGTCGAGCCGGCCCATGCGTGACGAAGCATGGCTCTCCCACACTTAATAATAGTTTGGAAAACCTTTATGTTTCTGATATTTTCTCAAACTGGGATTTGAAGCGTTGTTAGCAAAGTTCTCATAAGTGGCATTATCGAGTTTGGGATCCCGGATTCCATTTGCGGAGCAAAATATTAATAGTGTTAAAATTGTACATTAATAATAGATTCTGAAAAAAATTTAATGTCCACAAACCTGTATATCAGGGTACTCTGCGATTAGTTGGTCCCAAACAACATTGATCCGGCTCGCTGCGCCTACGCACTTGAGTGCCGACACCTGCACGTACGACTCATAATCGTTGAATGCAATCGTGGCCGCTACGTTTATTACATTATTTTCTAATAATTGGTTCTGGAATGGTGGGAATTCTGGAAATTGAAAATAAGTATCTGCTAATAAGAATTGCTTTTGCTGGTTTATGGTAAGTGTAGCAGGAAGCTGCTGATCGTACATTGGATTTGTCAAGAAGTAGTAAGGCAAGTACCAACTTTCGACAGTCTAACTACGGTATTATTGAGAATGTTAATATTAAAATCATAATTTTATATTACTTTACCAATGAGGGCCTCATTGGTATCAGCCTCATTATGAGGCTGTCTGTAAATAATTGAAGCTATGTGAATACATTCTTTTATTATCACCCTAGCTCTTGTAGGTGTCTACAGACAAGAGTCCAACATTTGACAGAACGCCAGCAATAACTAAGATATTTTTGCAACTGTGATCCCAATCTACTTGCTAAACGTGGAGATAATGGACAGACATCCTTACTAATATTATAAATCGGAAAGTGAGTTTGTTTGTTTGTTCCGCTTTCACGCCGTAACTACTAAACAGATTGCTTTAATATTTTTGCAGACGTACAGTTAGAAGTCCGGATTAAATAATAGGGTACTTTTTATCCCGGAAAAATTTGATATTCCCGATTGAAAACAAAAGTGATGGCGCCGTGTGTATTGGTATAAGTCACATAGGCTACTTTTTATACTTATGTGACGCGAGCGAAGCCGCGGGTAAAAGCTAGTCTTATATAAAGGACTTATCCTCTCTCATCTGATAATATAATTTCATTAATAAGGAACCACTTACTGATATAAGCAATCTCGGTGCATATCTGCAATAATTCCAATGCCGTGTCTCTAATTTCCCAATGTCGGTCGTGCATCTTCATATAGATCAGTTTGCCTAAGTCATGGATCGAGCCTCCTGGCTTCGAATCCATTAGTAAAGAAAGGTTTGGTTGTAAAAACTTCTTCACAGTCAATCCTATTACTTTTAGGGATACCACGACGAACTGAAAGGAGAAGAAATAGGTAACTAAGTAAGGTTTTATGACAGCTTCGAAATTGAAAATGGTTATAATAGGGTAGATGACTAATTTTTATTTTAATGCCCGTCTGGTAAATTCTTAAAAACATTAGACACGTATCTATTATTTTCATAAGGAAACGAATAGTTTCAAAGATATATTGATTTGAAATTTCGCATGACGTCACTTTTGAGTACGATTTATACTCTAAAATGACGTAGGTACCTCCCACTTTGATTCGTTTTATCTAAGTATTGTTTTCTTATACAAAATAAAAAAATACGTGTCTAATATTTTTTTATTATCTAACTGATGGAGATTTTTAATTTTCATACCCTGTCATCATTTCTATTATGAATTCCACATTGCCTAACTGCTGCATTGAGCAGTCTATGGATGGATATGGATGGCTACTGCAAACAAAGAGTAGTCAACCCTGCACCATTATCAAATCAGTAGACGATATGGCGATAAAAGAAGCATAGAAAAAAGTAGGGAAACAAAACGATAATGATTTCCTTAGGTACTTACTTTGCAACTGAGGTTGGTTCTCTCCAAATTGTTCATAGCAACATTATACAGGCACATGATCTCTACACTCTCATGCCAGTTGATGTTACGGTGCGTGACTAACGACAGCACGTTGTCCATCACATACGTCATCACAAGATTCTTCTGTTCTCCGTCTTCGAACTGCTCTGTCTTAGGATCCCCATACATATCAGTCGGATTGTACTCTTGTAGCACATGAAATAAAGCTTGGAATACTAAATTCGCTTGCTCGTCGTTTAAATGATCCTTCAAATGTATCAGCTTCTTAACACATTGAAGAATTACTGACAACGTGTCCAATTCCGACGTCAAATCCCTGAAAGCATAAGCAGCTTTCGCTGTATATTCACAGGACATGTTCAACAGTCTCTCTATGTAGTCGTGGATTCTCGCGTCCGTCAACGCTGACTGTGGCTTCCCGTATGTAACAAATACCAAGACAGGAACTAAAAATATAAACAACATTTGGTTTCTCATAACTCCTTTCTTGTTTTCTTGTATCCACATTTCTGATTCTCTGTCTTTGTACATCCTATTCCAAATCATATTGCAAGTAGAACAAAAGTCCAGGATTGATGTCGCACTGCGACGCTGAACAAAATTCTGTATCACATTGAAATTGAATGCGGCTACTTCCAGGAAGTCCTCGCTGCTGTATAGCACTCCAGGTGCCATCGGCTTTGTGAGGAAAACTTTCGCTAATGTCAACCAATGTACTAGTTTAAAAATATTCAATATCATATCGTCTTTGCGTATTCGTTCGCATGCTATTAACAAATATGAACTTATTTTAAATTCTTTGATTATTATGTGCATAAGTACACTTGCATTTTCAATGCGTCTCTCCATGCTTGCTGTATGTAATAGTATTTGGACTGTTGGCTCAATAACGATGCATATTTCTTCCTCTTCTTCACTCGTCAGTGACTGGACATTGATGAAATCATATTTGCTAATTGGTTGTAATAAGTGACTGACTATTGTCCTGATATTGTTTGCATCGCCTAAAGCGTTGAGTTTCCAAAGAAATTCTGACATGAACTTGTATACTTGGCGTACAAGGAATACCGTTGATTTTTCGTTACATAGACTGATTATGTCCTTCCATACTCCACTTTCTAGTAGCCAGCTGACGCCAGAGTTATGTGTGACTATATTCAGGGCTGCTTCCATGTATGCTACTCTAATACTTGGGTTCGAGTTAGGCGCACAGATCTCTTGGAACCCAGCGCGTATTCTGTCGCCTTGCTTAGCGAACATTTTAGCGAAATGCAACTCTTTTTGTGACGCGATAGCAAGGACTCGCATGAGGAATACTTTGACTGTATTGTGTGCATTGTCAGTGTGGTCCAGGGCTTCGGTAATCAGATCAGATATTAAAGGCACTCTTTTTAGAAACGATACCTCTGAAAAGAAAAAGATAAGTTCCATAAGATATTTAAAAGGTAAGGTCAGTTTTGTGGTCACATTTGTGTACAGATTCAATAACTTCTGGTTTTGCACCAATACTTATTATAATTAGCATGTAAAACGTTGCATTATCACATATGATGTAGTGAGATGACATGATTACAATGCAAACTACTCTGATGACTTACTAAAGCCATGACAAGACAAATCTTGAACTTTTAACTCCTACTGATGATGACAAGCAATATTTCGACGGTTGGCTTGGGAAATACTCACAGGCACATTTAACCGCCCACCTTGATTTTCTGGATTTTCTCGTATGCTGCCTATAACTGGGAAAGTCTGATATTTTATTTTTAAACTAGGCACATCTTGTCATTTAAACACTGTGTAATAATGCAAAAAACTGCATTTATTCACCATTTAAATAAAAAAAATCATTTTTAGTGATTTTTGTTGAAAAGTTTAGATTTACAATATTGTTAATTTTTAATTTTCTGTGGTCGTCTAGAGACTTTTAGTAATGGGTATTATCTCCTCGGGCTCTGATGACTTCTTGCAGTCGGTTTGGAAGTCCATCAATGACATCTTGGATGTCAGACTGAGGGATGTTGTGCCGCTCTTCTACTGCAGCAATCTTGAGTTCTCCAATAGTCATTGGTGCAGGAATCCTAGCTCGAACCCGTCTTTTAAGGTTGTCCCAGATGTGTTCAATTGGAGTGAGGTCAGGACTGCGTGCTGGCCACGGTAATGTTCGTATACCGACCTCGTCCAGGTACTGGGTCACTATTCTAGCGACGTGGCATCGGGCATTGTCGTGCATGAATTGAAAATTGTCACCAATAAATGGTGCAAATGTCACGGCGTGGTCTTGCAAAACCTTCTCCAGTTAACTGTGTGCAGTAACACTGCCTCTATCACACACTACGAGGTCGGTACGAGCGTTATAACTGATGCCCCCCCAAACCATTACTGAACCTCTCTGATAACCCACAGTTTCCACTATTGTACACGGAGCACACCTTTCATTTGGTCGTTTGTACACTCGCTGACACCCATCTGGACCTCGTAGGGCTATTCTGCTTTCATCTGAAAACAGAACGTCCTTCCATCGGTCCGTAGTCCAGTCAGCGTATTCTCGCGCAAATTGAAGTCGCGCTCTACGGTGCTGTGGGAGCAATTCTGGGGCGCGCGCAGGACGTAATGCAGTCAGGTTCCTCTCTGCCAACCTTCTTCTCACCGTCCGTTCCCTTACGCTGACATTTCGCACTTCAAACACGCTAGTTATCACCTCGGGAGCAGTGGTGAAGCGATTTTTCAGCACATTGTTCACAATGAAACGATCCTCTCGAGCAGATGTGCACCGATGACGGCCTTGTCTCGGTCTCCGGTTGTTGGAACCCATCTCCCGAAAGCACCTGATAGCATCCCGTACAGTGGTTTGAGGTACACAAAGCATCCGAGCAATGCGACGTTGGCTGTACCCAGCATCAGCAAAAGCTACGGCTCTTGCAGCTCCAGTTGCATCCAGTGGCATTTTTGTGTGATTACAGTAATCAAATTAATGCAATAACTTAACAGAACAGTAATTACACCAAAAAGAGCAGGAAAACCAGGTTAAATCTCACACTAATCCGATCGCAAGGAATGTCAAATTTCGACTAAATTACAAAAATGCATCTGTATACACGAACTTCTAAAAAAACAAGGGTCAGAGTGTTTAATTTGTTGCCAAAGTACCCACTTGAAACAAAACATCCATCGGGATAAACATTCCTTATCGCAAACTAACGTGGTGACGTATTTCTTAAGTGGGCGGTTAAATGTGCCTGTGAGTGTATATTGACGAATCTGCCAGAGTAATAAATGAGCAGTCATGCCACAAAGTCACGCACGAACTCTATGCGTAGAATACCTAAACTCGGTAGTTGAATGGTCTAAGCATGAAACGTTTAAAATATAATTAGCAGATGCTAGTTATTATTGGAGGAGGCTCAAGACTACGACCATGAATGTCATTGTTAGATTACCAAAGGCTCAATTCCCTACTTCCTATTGTAGCTTTACTGGTGTTGTGTCTCTCTCTTCCATGGAAGGCACCGATTTCTTACCATTCGTACGGTGATCTGTCTACTCGTTTGCCATAAAAAACCAATATTCTGTATTGGTTTTTTATGGCAAACGACTTATTATAATATGTATTGAACAATTCGTTACAACAAATTATGAAACAGTACCGCCGACAAAATAAAATGGGCTGTCAATCAAACGACCAATCAGATTCACCGACAGCAATGACGTATATAGCCATCCAAACTACATACAATGATACAGACAGCCCGATATTATTATTATTGTATTATGGTATAAGCACGTGTGCGCCATTATAAAATTGACCTTTATAACGAAACTTAATTTTTTGTTAAGTCATGATGACAAAGCATGATGATGTTTGTACAGGAGGTGTGCTTATTTAGAATTTGTTTATTTTTTTATAATACCAATCATAAGTAAGTATGCTGGGATTAGTTAATATAAACTATCAAGATAGACACTATAAAATATACGTAATTTTGGCTGTTACATTAGAAGCCCGAAATTGTATGATACTGCAGCGTGAGATTTGACAGATACAATATTATATGAAGTTACAGGTAGTTCTAAATAGTTCAATTTACAATAAGTCTACAACGAGATGAGCTCACTCTAGGGATGAGCAATATGAACATCTGGAAATCCTTTCCCGAAGCTTCCCTTTCCAGCAGTAAAGTCATGAAAATCAGGTCAGATCAATTTTGATTTAAAAACATAAATAGAGGAACATTGAACGTAAGACATATTGTAATAATTGTCTAGACATAATATTAATACACAATATGTATTCCGCGTAATAAAATACGTAAGAATGACATTAAAAATCCAAATCCAAGTTTTAAAGAACACGTAATAAGAAATTGACATCATCGGGTATAAACAAATAATGACTACACAATAATTATAATTTTCACATTACATCGGCTGTTTTAGCCATCTGTCTTCAATAAGCAATATTTTGTAAATAAAATACGATGTTTTGTTCAAATAATTTCAAAGTCAAAGTCAAAATCATTTATTTCAATTAGGCCAAAATGGCACTTTTGAACGTCAACAAAAACAAAAATTTAAAGTGAAGCTATTTGCTCATTCCAAGGCGTAGATTCCTATGGAGAAGAACGAGCAAGAAACTCCATAGGTTACTCTTTTTCAATCATGTTCACAATACAATTTACTAGTTACATCGTTTTGCTGTTTGGATTGTGCGAGAACAATGTAACACTAAAATCCAGTCAAAGTGATCAAAAAAGAATTTCAAAATACTATAAGGTTATTTTAAATTCTGATTTATGGCAATAGGCTCATTCTCATTGATCTGTTGAAGAGATCCATCGGCAAACAAGATCTTTCCTATTAGTCTATCATGCGACGCCGAACGAGAGCCCCTTTTAATCCTAACTGGTGTAAATTAGGTGTTCTCTTTTTTGCACGTGCACGACTTCGGGGAATTAAAGGGCATTATGTTATTTAACTGTCTCGTTGGCCGAGTAGTCGCAAGTGCGACTGCCGGGCAAGGGGTCTCGGGTTGGATTCCCGAGTCGGGCAATGTATTACTGGGTTTTAAAAATTCTCAGTAGTAGCACGGAGTCTGGAATTGTGCCCGATATATGGCAATAGGCTCACCCCCTATTACATGGGACTCATAACATAAATAGTGAAAATTGGGTGTTACAATGTACTGTGGCATAATATGCACCCCTTCGAGGATAAAAGACGCGATGTTATGTTATTTGACTTGTCTAATATTATTATTAACCTAACGGAGCAATTTTTATCTGTAGCGTCACGAGCCCTTTGTTTGAGTGCAACGCACTAATAAGGAAAATGAGATGTAAAGTAGACCTTCCCAACGCATATAGACATTGTTTGAACAATTACAAGTTCAATAAAAAAATCAGATTTATCGAGGCATTTGATACAACTTCTTTATACCACACCCAAAAAAATTAAAAATACCATATACAATCAAAACACCTGGTTTTCGCCAGACCATTATTGCCTCGTTGGCCGAGTGGTCGCAAGTGCCATATTACATGGAACTCATAACATAAATAGTGAAAATTGGGTGTTACAATGTACAGTGGCATAATGTGCACCTCTGCCTCTCCCCGAAGGGGTCTTCGGGGATAAAAAGGCGTGATGTTATGTTATGTCATTATTGCCACGTTCGGACACAAGTGGGAACTTCGTATTTAGTTCGCTAGGGGGCAATATATTTTTATTTGTACGACACCTTTGTTTGTCTAGCCCATTTATCTAATTCCGTATCACTATCTAGCTTGTAAATACTTTATCTGAACGCAACTGCGTGTGGTCATGAACGATATGTGTGCGCCAATGTTTCAGTTTTACGAGTTCTAAACAAAAGTTTTATCGCTGTCTCTCCCAATTTGCGTAATGCCACGCATTCCCTCAAATTATCAACAACAATCTTTAAATAGCTACAAGATAAATCAAAATACATGTAAAGATTGTGTCTATATTTCTTGTGGACAAAAATGGATATTCCAGTGAAGTCTCCTAACCAATGCCTTGTGCATCCCCTGCAGCATTTTACATTCGGGCTGCCAGGCCTGCCTGCAAATAAGCTCAATATGCTAAATATTTATGTACCCAATTTAGGTAATATCCTTTATCAGGAATTTGTACTCGTTTATGCACGTGATTATAAATTAGGCACTAATTAGGCAGGTTTAGAACTTATTTTAGTTTTATCCAAGTGATATGATAGATGGTATTATTTTCAGTTCAAAGTGTGATAATGATACAGTGTGTTCTCAAAATGAAAGAGTTCAAACTGTATATCTACTGACAGTGACGAGTATCGCGGTAAATATTTGTCTAAACGACCAATTGCATCGGATCTTTCATAGAAATTTCCTGGCTTTTACAGAAATAAAAT